CAATTGTTTATTTAAATGTTAATTTTTAGGAGTTTTTAGCTCTCAGCTAGTAGTTAGTAGCTCTAATATTTTAGGACTTACGTTTAAAGTTTAATGCTTATTAGTCATTAACTTTGCAATTTATCTTAGTCTTAGTAAGACTTGTAATGTTTTATAACAATAGAGTTCCACAATCTCCATGTGTATTTCAACTACGCATTCCAAGTGTCATCACAGGATACCAGGATGAGGATAAATGTCGACAAAAAATGGGAAAAAGAGAGTCAGGAAGGTATTCGAATGAGTGTTAATGCCGTATTATCCTCTGCCAAGGTTTGAAGAACCTGCAGGACCAACTGGAAAGTTTTCGAGCTACTTTTGCGAGTTTAGCCAGTTGTCCTATCATGGCCGGCAGTTAAATTTAATTACACTGCCCCAAAAGATGACCTCCTACTCAATGGCCTGAAACCGGAGTCGTGGGAGGAGCCGTAGGCCTTCGCTAATGATGTGTGTAGATGTTTATTAGTGCCGTCGGCGACGTGACCATCGGGCCCCATCCATTATCCTTTCGCCTGAAAGAGGAACTTGGCCAACAAGTGGCTTCTTGGCACTTTCTTGAAACTTAATAACTTGGCATTCGCCCTGAACTCAAAGTTGGCTTAGCGTCGTCTTAGCCGCCTCGGACCGAAGTTGCTCATTTCCGGCGGATGTGATTCGCATTGTCTCTACAAAGTTGCACATAAATTAATGCAGGCTGCGTGCCGAGAGCCCCCACCCTGGCCCTCCAAGGCAGCAATAGTGGTCAGACCCCCCACTAATTCTCAGCCATTAAAAATACTTTTTAATGCCTCGGGAATTTGCATTTAAACGATCTCAGCTTCTGCTTACCGAGCCCGACCCATATCGGTAATGGTAAAAAAATTAAGCGTTTGGGGATGCGCTGTTATAAAAATAAAATAAGAATTTATTAGATTCCGATTCCCCTTTCGATTTGTTTTCAGCACGCACTCGTCCATTTACGGAGGCTTGTGACGTCGGAGGCAGAAAGGATTGTCGCGTGCCGACGTGCATCTGGTCAGGTAAGCCAAGTTCTTCTCGGGTTTGAATGTAGCTTTAATAGCAAAAACAACACATTCGAAATTACTTCTAAACAGCTATTTAAATTTTATATTTCTTTCTTTTAGAAAAAGTATATAAGTATATTTTTTATTTTATTCTTAAGATAAATGCAAATGTTCTTTGTATTTTCAAGAAATAATTAAGCATGGCATGTATTATAATAAGAACTTAGAACTTTAAGTAAATTAAATTGTCATTTTCTTATTTATTTGTTTACGCTTATTTTTTAAACTTCAAGACCTGAGTAAAATTTAAATGAATTTTAACAATATTTCATAACAGGGACTGACTGTTTTCTAATACTCTTGATTTATGTATTCTTGTCAACCTCTTACAATATTTAAGATGTTCACAGTTTAGTTTAAATTCTAAGAACACTGGCCTGAAGTTTAGAAGCCATTACTCATAGGTATGGCTATAATAATATTTTTAATAGAAATTTAACTTTACAAAGACCGATTTTCCGCATTTTTAGCATTTGTAAATAAAAATATTTATCAAGAATACTGTTTGTTATGATCGAATTCACCTCCCAATTCATCAATCTGAATCATCAATTAGTACAAGTTCACCTGGCCGGGTGGCTAATGACTTAAACCAACAATCGGTGTTCGGTTCTGATCTCCAGAGACTCGAGGGTGCCAAAAGGGAGAATTATCACTTGGAGCGTTTGGCGAGATGACTCTGCTGCCGCTGTTCTGGCGGTTCAATTCGAGCATAATTAATGCAAAGCCCAAAGCAGCAGCGTGGCCCAGTGCCGAACTTGTTAATTATGCAAGCAGACAAATGTCATAACTGACCAGCTGACTGAACCTGAACCCCAGCCGCAATTAATGTGCATTCTCATGGCGACTGTTGGATTGCCATTTGCACAGTACATTGAGTACTATCCTCCCTCACGTGCATGCCGGCCCTGAATCATGCCCCGATGCTCTGTTCTATTTTGGTATTATGTAAAATATTTTTCAAAAAATAATAATTTCTCATAAGACTGCGAGTGGGCGGCAGTGGCGGACTGCGGAAATAAAATTGGAAAATGGGGCGGGTCTCTGGCAATCCACTCTATAAGACTCTATGTATCAGCAATGGTAATGACCTCACACAGGGCCATCAGTTGAGTGAAGTAATCCACGACTGAAAGCAACATCTGCAATATGAATGTTTATTCGCAAATGGCGAACGAAAGCAGGAAACCGGAGCCGGACCCGCACTGATCAATGCAAATTTAATGCAATTGGAATATGTTTCGTGCCCCGTGGGAGTTCCACCTTCAGTGTCCTCTCCATCCTGCCCCTGCAACTGCAACTGTTGCTCTAAATCGCCATGAATTCAAGGCAGGATAAATGTAATTGGACGGGAGTGTGAGCTTGGACACATAACTGGGGAACAATGCAAGGACAATGCGATGGTGATTGTGAATAGGGATGAATGCTATGCCGAAGGGCGTGTATTTCATCGAATTTTTACAGGCGGAGAAAAGACTTTAGGGATTTCAAAGCATGATTTAATTTCTGTTAATGGTTCAAGAAGTACTTAAATAAAGAAATCTTCAAAATGTTAGTCCCAATACAGCTATGACTTAAAGGACAAAAATGTGATAAATATCCCTCATATGAATATGGGATACCTTTGCTTCCTTGCTTCAGGAAAAGGACTAAATTGGCCATCAATTGGTGTCCACTCAATTGCTCCGCCCTCCTCTCCGGGTCACGTAACTCTTGAGCTTTATCATCGGGTTGTAAAAGCTGCCATAAAGGCAGCCATTAAATGGCCAAGTGATGTCAACATTAGGTGAGCAGAGCCCACCCCCTGTCCAGGCCACCTCGTGTCACACCGCACACACGTGGGTCGAACTCATCCACTGGGATTTGCAATATGTCGCCAGCATATTCATCGCACCACCCCCGTTCGCCCCTTTTGACGAGGGGCTGCTGTCAAAATATTGACAATCGGTCTTTAGTCGGCGTCAAGGTCAACTGCACATTAACTGCAGGCAGCCAAGGACACTCTTGCCTAATGCTGTGGCGCGAGTGGGGGCGGGGCGACAGGCTTAGGGCGTGGCCGAATTTGGCCGTAAATCTGCGACACTTTCGGTCCAGCTCTGCGTAGCGAGTTTGCGGAGGGAATTAGCGGGCGATTATCTTCTAATTGGATGCTAATTCCCACTCGCAACCCACTTATGCATGTAAATGTATGGGCGTACTACGTAGGTAGCTTTCCTTCGGGCCCTCTCAGTTCCGGCGAGGGCAAGGGGAGCTGCTAAAATCGTCAAGTGTTTGCCGCTGCGTGACTTACTTTAAATTCGGATAATCGAATCGAAATCAGATTTGGCCAGCCTGGGCTATTGACTTTGGGCCAATTTCTGTGGGCCAATCGCCTTCGTCGCGGCTTGGGTTTTGGCAAGTCGGCTGACGTTGTTGTGCGCCAGCCGGAATATTTATAGAAGAAATTGGGATGGAAACACATGATTGGTGAGTGTCAGGCGGTGCCAGGAGCAGGCTAATGAATCTATCTCTGGACCAGAAGCTCTCGGCTGGCTGCACACGTTCCTCCTCCCAGCGGGCCAAAGGGTCCCAGCCAAATGAGCAAACGGCGGGAGACCCAGACCTTCGAGACGTGCCAGAAATATTCACTCGATTACTTGGAGAACAGAACAAAACTATTTAATATACATCCCATAATAGTCGCTCCAGTATTAAAGAAAGATAAATTAGGGCATTGACACAATTATAAATAAATATTATTATCTGATGAATAATAATGAAGTTTCCGAGTGAACCCTGCTCATTGTAAGGGGGTAAGTTGTATTGTAAGAACTAATCATTTGCAAACAAATGCAATCTTGTAATGTGGGGTAATATTTGCAAGCGGGTCTTGACTCATGCCCGTCTTGAATTATCACTCGATCCAAGTGAAAGTTCAGCGAAAGGGTGCGTTTATCGGCTGGAAGTCCAGATAAAAAGATACACATTCCCAAACCCCAAGTGGAATGTGCCTTCTTGGCTGGCGAATGCAATTGTGTCCGAATGCATTTGGAGGCTTAACCGGAAACTTTTAATTTAATTAATTTATACACAAAGGCGCAATCAAGAGCACTGCTGACTTGGACGGGTTGAAGGGCCGGAAGGGAGTGCAGGGTGTTTGGGGGCAGCGGGACTATGCGAATTGCGGTTACAAGCGCCGTGTGCATCTGATAGATAGATAGATACTTTCTACCTCCCACCGGCCGCCCGTCGAGATAAAGCGCTTTGATGTTCACTTGCTCTGCTCGGTTCATTTCGCATTGCGCTCAGTAATTTCGTTTCGTTTCATTTCGTTTCGGTTGGAGGGCAATTCCAAAAAAAATCCGCCGTAATTCCGAAGCCTCTGCCCGCCAGATAAATCTTCCTAGAAGGCGGACAGAGTCTTGCCTGCAGAATGTAAACTAAGTACTGTTGTCTTTGGGCCTTTTGTAGCAACAGGTGAAGTCTGTTTATTGATGCACTCATTGCGCTAATTTGTTTGTTCTCGGGATGATTTAATGGCCAACCCGCTGACAGGGTCAAGGGTGGATTGGCTATTTGGACGGGATATGCGAATGGATATATGATTGCCCAGATGGACACTGGCCGGATGTGGCCGTTATCAATTAGCCATCAATACCATAACGGCCATAAACAGGATACGCGATACATGCAACAGGTTGGGGGCTTCCCCTTTCTCGGAAGCAAATATAATGAGCTGGATGCGAGGGCAGCATAAACTTTATTTTCTTTGTTGGTGTCCGAATTTTATTGATTTTCGGGCGGGGAGCGGTGTAACGGACAAACTAACATATGTCGAATGCCCCGAGCATAAATAAATTATTTAGAGCGGCCATAAAGGCCAGTCGCGAGAATTGTTAGTCCAAACACTCAAGTTACCTGTTCGAGGATCGATGGAAAAGTTGGGCGGCTGAAGTTGCGGAGAAGGAGGAGCCACAGGTGGCTCTCTACTGAAGAAACACCAACACTGGCCCAGATCGGAGTGTCTGCGAGCTGACAATCGCCAATCACCTGAAGCGCCTTGATAATCTTTCTCTTATTTTTTTTAAATAATTTTTATTTAATTTTTGCCCGTCGAGACGCTAATTCAATTGACACTTATTTTCGACTTCGATGGTAATAATAATAATAAAAAAACTGGATGGAAAACTTTTCGTGGCTTATTTAGTTTGGCATATCATTGAGACAAAGCACAGGCACACACACCCCAACACATACACTGGATTTGTTTATTAATTTATTTGTTGGGCTAGCCGAAATATAAATTAAAATTTCGATTTCGCTTTGATTTTCGAGTCTGCGTTTGCGATTGCGGTTCCGGATATGCGAAATTCTTCCGCGCTGGCCAACGCTCGACGGCAAAATGCGCGAAGCGTTCGCACGGACTTGAACTGCGAGGCGAATCGGTTGGGAATCGGACTGCGAATCGGGCTTTGGCTTCGGTTTTTGGATTCGGATTCGGATTTATCATCGGGTCGCCAGGCCCCCAAGCCACCCACTAAACACTATCCCAACCACCCACCTCCACCACAAACGCCTGTTGAGCGAGTTGGATTTTTCGCTGGAAAAGCGTGGTGAGTTGCCAACACAGACCGCTGCAGTTCTACGGCTGCCATTGAAAATGGCTCTCCGTCCGGAAATAACCCTAAAAGTAAAAATAAAATTGGCTTGCTTTTATACTTTATTGGCCTATATGACTATATGACTTATGGCTGCTGTACAGATTTCTATATAAATTTACAGAGAAAAAGATTAAAACTAAAACTTGTAAAGGAATATTTTCTAATATTTATATTTTATAATTAATAGTTTCTTTCTTGCTTGGAATTTTGATAAATTAAAGGGCTTGGGTTTTATTATATTTATGAATAAATTACTGTCATCATTCAATTCCAAAATGGCCTTTAAAATATTGTCTTGATTTTTAAAATAAATTTTAATTTTTGTAAAATAAATGTGAGATTTCTTTGAATGTTTTCTTTTGGCAGCCAATAAAAATCTCTTTTACATGCCCAGGGACACATACGGCGGGACCCATAATTGAGACGTAAACCGGAATGTGCGATAAATATTTCTCGGCGGTTCTTTGACTAAACTAATGAATTTGAGTGGCCGCAAGAATTGACGGCGCTCTCAATCAATCGACTCATTGAAATTGATGGCCAGCTGGTTGATCCTTGGCATTGGAGTATGTGGTGCAAGCGAGAGGGGAGAGGCACAAGGGGGCAGGGCACTGAAGGGGGGTTGGCTAGAGGGTGGGGACTAGAGGGTAACGAGGCGGATGTGCCCAAGAGCACGCAACCCCCGTAATAATCGTTTGGCCAAAATCAATTTGTGCGACTTTGTTGCTTTATGGGCTGCCATCTCAGTGAGCTCCCCTGTTCGGCCCGACCCGACTCACCCCCTCCCGCTGCCATATCAGCTTGTTAGCAGTTCATCAAAATTGTTTGCCGCATATTAATTGTCAATGGTGGCTATTGGTGTTGTTGTACTCCCAGCCACAGTGCTACTGTTTCGCGGAGTACGATCGAATTGTACGAGTATCGTTATTAATGCCCCCATCTACCCTCCGCGAATATCGTTTTATTGACATTTGGTGCACGTGACCAGCCTGCAGAGATGTTTGTCTACTGCTAACCAAATAGTCTCTGGCTTTTAATGTGCAAACAAACAGAGTTGAAAACGAAATCGATTGTAGCGATTGCTGTGGCGGAGTGGTCTGGCTGTATGATGCTCGTTGCAGCCCATGCGGCGTATACGTAATAAAGCTAAATGCTCGTTCTGACGACTCATTTGTAAGATTTGTGGGCCTCTGGGTGGCACCCACCCACGTGTTGGCCATTTGCACGTCCATTTTGGGATCTACAAGGAGACTGGTTCTCAAAAGCTACAAAGTTTTATAACCAGAGGAATTCTAATAAATTCTAAAATGGTCTTGAAGACTAGGAAATAGTAAATGAAACAGCTTTCCCCACTTTGTTGTGTGGTGTAAAGCTTTAATTTACTTTAAAGGTTTGTGTCCAACATAGCGCCCAAAAAGCTTTTGGAGCAACATACCACAAGTGAAGGCGACCTAAAATCGTTATTTCTTTTCTGATTTATTGATAAATTTACACAATTAATTGGGCTAAGTCAATAAGATAAAATTAAGATTTGTACTGGGTAGACTGACTTTGTCTGCAACATACGATTTTTCCACACTTTTAGGAGTACATTGAGAACAAATCTTGAGAAAAAGGGATAATATATGTAGAATCCTGAACTTCCAAAAAAAAATTGACGTACCTAATGTCACCAAATGTTTTTATCGTTAATTACGATAAAATATTAGTCTAATTTAAAAATTTTCGATGCATAACCTAAATTGATCTAGGGAACCCCTACTTTTAGAAATGACATCTTATTTTTGGTTTCATTTACAGTTTAATTAATTTATTAGGGATCATGATGAAGTCGGCTCAATAACCCATTAACATGTGCTACCCATTTGGCTCCAGATCGTCTCGGATATAAGCAGACAACAGAAATCCAATACGAGGACCGCTTCCACCGTATCTTCCCGAAAACTGCAGCCGCCGCTCAATAGATTCCGAGAGAATTACAGGGGAAGAGCTGACATATGACTGCTAAACGTTTAATAATTGTCTCAAAATGTACACTAAGAGAAAATAATTACATATTAAGTTGCACAATTATTTAGTAATAGTCTTAGTAATATTTGTAATGCTTGATGGCAGGAAGTTTGCTGAGTTTTCGATCGTTGATCGGATCGAAAAACTTTGTTTATCCTGATAAGGTTTCACTGGAAAACCCATGATAAATTCTTATACAATGTTTTGTACAAACATCAAATAAATAAAAAGTTTGTCGAACAACCGATTACAGTGTATGGGAATAAAGCGATGAGCGTGACACAATCTGCACTTGGCTGCACTCGCCAGCGATCGCGAGTATCAAGTATCAGGCAGTAGTAGTAGTTGCACTCCCTCTTCCCCTAAGCGTGAATTCTGTTTGCCAGCCATATCTATATCTTTCTCATATTTACATATGGGCATTTTCTGCCCCATAACCGCACATTAAGCACTATTTAATTAAGACACAGCGCCAGGCCAGACAAGCAGGGTTTGCTTCGGCTTATGATATTTTCGCACTCGAGTTTCGGGTTCCGAGTTCTGAATTCTGAGTTTTATAATATACCACTTCTGGGGGACTGGGGTAGACTGGGTTGGAGGTCTTGGTCTCAGTCTGCTGGGGAACGCGAATGCGAAACATGTGCGACTGGAGCGACGGTCCCACTGATCCGTATAATCCAAGGGGATACCATAGAGGATTAAATTCTCTTGCAATAAATTGCTTTGATTGATTGGCGCCACCATGTGTTGTTGGTGTGCACGTGTCTACTGGACCGTTCTCCACAATCTTCTGGCCCGGTGGTTAGATGGCCTAATCGATTTGAGCAAATTCCGTTGCCGCCTGAGAGCTCCCTTCTTGTGCGGCTGCTGTGCGGACTATCAGCGGCAGTCGAGCGCCGAAGATGATGACGTCGCGGCCACCGAACGGGTTTCCAGCACCAATGACGATCCACCGCCCCACCAGCTCCAACACGATTACGTCATAGTGGGTGAGTTCTCGGAGAGTAATACCCGCTCATTATCATAAGTATTTGTGGATCAGCTTCAAAACAACTTAAATGTTATGAGAAAATCTATAGAGCAGACCTTTTAAGCAATTACCATCTTAGACCTAAACAGTTTTCTCATTTAGACGATGCCGATGCCAACTATGTGGAGATTGAGGAGAGGAATGTGGAAACGGAACAGTACTACTTCACCGTGGATCGACACACGGCGGAGCGAATGCTCAACGGCCGTGAAGATGGCTCCTGTCTAGTCCGCCCCTTCAGGGCCCCCGACGAATGCATCCGGTATATAGTCAGCATCTGGTCAGCAGATCAGTTCTTTCACCTCTTCGTGCGACAGCTCGATAGGAGACAACGCTATGCCATTGGCCAGAAGAAGCCACGAGAGCGCTACTTCACTTCCCCGTCGGAGATTATTGAATTCTACTCTGAACACCCGCTCTTGTGCACCAACAAAGTCCGGACCCAGTGCGTCCAGTTACGGCCTATTAGTTACGCTTAGATACGGGGTAGATCTTTATTGGGTAAGTGACAAGGGAAGTCAGGGGAATATGTACAAATAGTATTAGTTTAAAGACGATCTTCAAGTGGCCACGACCGCCTTGAAGGCGCACTGGTTGTTCTGCATCAGGGCGGGCCATAGGAAGGCCTTGATGAGATCCGATCTCCGGTCAGCCTGCGGATGTCGTTCATGTTTTTCCGGCCGGAGAAAGCCTGATTCGGTATTAGAAAATTTAACAATTAAAAGTTTGTGACCAAAAAATAAAAGTGTAAATCAAATCTTACCCAGATTGAAGTCCATGTCCAGGTAATAGGGGGACTTCTGGTTGATCATCCGCCAGGCCAGTCGCACGCAGGCACTCACGTAGTGGGTCAAAGGAGGACATGACTCCAGGCAGGGATATTCGTGAAGCGTGGAGAGCACCTGGTTGAAGACACTCCGTTCTATCTCGCCCAGCGGAAAGTTGTCGGCGGTCTCGTGAAGATGCTGGCGGACGGAGCGGTCCAGGGCCAATGTGGTCTCACTGCTGCTGTCCAGGGCACAGTTCAGGGTACGTCGCACTTCAAGGACCTTTCGTTCTCGCATTCCATGGCACAGGCGGAAGGATAGCTGATCGAAGACAAAACAAAAGTCATTCATCTTTGATCGAAAGTTGAAATAACTTGATCTGAAATCTCCAAAGCCCACATAATTTTCAACACCCCGGGGGATCTACTTTCGCTTAAATTTTCTCTACAACGCCTAATCATCCGCTAACTTGATTTAGATCTAAGAAAATTGATATTTTGCAATGGCAATTATGTATAAAACAGGATCCCCAAAACCCACAGGCATAAGGTTGGTAATTGATGGCTAAGCATTTGAAAATTGAAAGTAATCACAGCCAGATTCCGGCCTTACAGTTTTAGGGTCACTGTGACAGTGGTAAGGCAAGCAGTGAAGCAAGCAGTTCATGTTCCATATCTGATGGAATTCTTTTGCTTTTGTTAACAAAAGAGTATTTAGCAAATAATAGAAATTCTTTTAACTAATTTGCATTCAGAATAAGGTAAAATACAATTCAAAGATTGTCCTCGTTTTAAACAATTGCTTATTATAAACAAACAACCCAAACCAATGACAGGTGAAAATGTTATTCATTCCCGTAATCCCATTTACCATACATCACTTATAAGACAAATTATGACAATATATGGCAAAAACTATTCTATTGACAAGTGAAAACAAGGCAGATAATGAATAGATATTAAAATACAATACACCCTGTATCATTTGGTTGTGCGAAACCTTTTAACCCCCGACAAAATGAGTGATGGACTTGCCACATTGTTCGGCGCACCCAATTAGAAATTTTTGTAGCTTCCACCGACAAGTGAAAAGATTGACAAGCAATTGGCCATAATTTCTCCCGATCGAGTTAATCTCGAAATTTTTTTCCGGCAGCTTCCAAAGCGTGTAATTGAATGTTCGGAGATCCCATCTAAGAAAACATTTGGGCACTTCGGACTTACCACGATCATGGAGAAGAGTATCTTTCCCTTGAGGCTGTGCGCGTGTTTTATCTGGGGAAGACTGTCCAAAGCCTCCAAGGCGTCCGCTCGGTTCTCCACGTAGAGATTCCGATAGAGCGACACCATTTCGCTGTTGGAGAAACAAGAGATAAAGCATAACAGATCGTGGGACGTAAGTGAGAGTTTTTTGTGGTCTCGATTTGGAGCCGAGACTCTAATGTGGGTGTAACTTCAAATTCGAAGCGGGTCAAGTATTAGAACCAGTCCGAAAATGATTAGCAGAAAAAATATGGTAAACAGTGCTCCTCACCTTCCATCATCGCTCCCAGAGTCATCCGAGTGGTAGCCATCGCTGCAGCTGCTGCCACCTGCACCTCCTTGGACAGAGACCTTTCCCACGGAAAGAGCGGAGCCAGGAGGTCCTCCCTCAGGACCCATCATATGGAGCACAACCTCGCACCCGCGGGAGAAGTTCATAAGCAGGCCGGCGGCAGGACGTCGCTCCACGAGAGCCTGTGCGTCCAGGCGACGCACTTGACCCACACAGGACAACACCTCCTTGTCGTTCTCCACTCGTGTGCTGAGATTCTCCACCAGGGTTTGCAGCTGCTTCAGAGCCGGCTTATCCAGCATGGTCAAGAGGGTCTTGTTGTCGATCAGCCGCTGCTGGATATCGCCATAGTTAATGGCCAGCAGGCGCTGGTGGGAGGAGTGGGCGGGGTCCTGGTTGACAGTCACCATGCTAAGCTCCTCCAGCTTGTGAATGGCCATTTTGTAGGTATCCACATGGCGCTGAAGTTCAGTTTTGAGGGCCACGTGCAGCGAGATGAGCTGCCCGGAGGCGTCTGTCGTGAGTCCGTGGACGCCGAGTCCTTGAACGGCATTATCGAAGCTGCGTCTTCGCTCCCTAACGGTTTGTCGGAGGGCAGGCTCGTATTGGGCCAGAGCCTGTAGCAATCGAGTGCATCTCTGGCGGAGTCCGGACTCATGGGGATTGGCGAACAGACGCACCAGTTGCCAGACCACTGTTTCACTTGGAACCTCCGGTTTGGGTGTGGTGTTCAAGGTGGTTAACCTGTGAGAAGGTTATTGTCCATTTAGGACCTTTTTCTTTGAGATAGCTTGTTACTTACCTGGTGAAGAAAGACTCCAGCAGGTAGGCACTGTGTGGTAGATGCTCCAGCAGCAAGTCTATGGGCAGCTCAGATATTACAGACCTCAAAACAGAAGGACCTAGACGTCCTACGACCCCAGCAGCCTCCCGGTACTGTCTGCCCTCGGAGAGGAGCATCAGACGGCGCAGGACCTGTCTGGGACTGGTGAGAAACTCCCTGCCGTCTCTCGAGGGACCCCGAATCCTTTCCCGGCTGTCCGCCATTGAAACAGCTGAGAGGGAGAGAGAGGGCGACGGCGAAGGACCTTGTAGTTGCAGGATTGCGTCCTGATGGTTCTTCAGCAGCAACTGTTTCCTGGTTACGTTAGAAATTACTCGGATGTCGGGTTGTTGGTTGGTAATGAAATGGCTTTTGTACAGATGCAGATGCAGATGCGATGGAGATAAAGATGGAGAGATGCAGATGCGAGTTCAGTGGGTCGGCTTACAGCATATTGGGCGTTGGTTCCATGGCTTAAGCTTGATCTTCAGTACAGCTGTCGGGAGGGTCTGAAAATGGACAGACACACAATGCCACAATTAATAGCGAATAGGAAACCTCGTTGGCAAGAATTCGCGCTCAAAACAATTGGCACTTTCACCGCAGCCAACATAATTTATCATAAGTTAAGGCGCCACGCATTGCCAGACAACTGAAAAGTATTCGCGTACAATGCAATCAGCTGTGGGAGTTTCCAGCTCGAAAATATGACAACTAGGAAAATGTTTAGAGTTCCTCACAAAGCCGCTTTCCACATGTGCCAGACGCCTTTCAGTTGTTCAGGAAAATGCCGTTTAGCCCCTCCAACAATACCCAAATGCATCGCCATTAAATAATAAACAAGATTAATGGCTTGGGTGATGCACTGCTAGGCGTAATTGATAAATAAACAAAGTTTTGGGGAAATTTTTGAGTTAGAACCTTGGGCACCTGCAGGGTTAATGCCTCGAGCCGAACCTGGTTCTGGCCATTTTCATGGAGAATCAGGGAATCGGACACTAAGGCAGCCAACCCGAACCGAAAAGAGGTAGACAATGTTTGTCTTCCCGGGAATCGACTGGCAGAGAACATAAAATGTTTACCAACAAGCCGAAAAGTCCGGAAAAGCAGCCAACCACAGCGGTAGTAGCTTGCAGGTGGTTACACTTAGAAGATAAAGTAGCTAACACTTTTATCCATTGCCTTTAAAATAAAAATCCACAGACGATTTCTTTCTCTGCATTTTAAACACTTCCTGAGGTTAAGACTTCAATTAATAACGTTTTCCTCGAGTGCGAGTTATGTTCTGTTCTGGATTGGACTGTGATTCTAACTAAAAATGAACACAACCACCTGGAACTGGAGGTGACAGTGACCCACCCCCTGGAGGGTCAGGCAGACATCGGGTACTAGCGGACCGGCTTAACGGACAGGTAGCCGCCTTAATTGAAGGCCAGGCCAGTAAGTGCGCTTTGGCAATACTTTCCGTTACCAAATGTACACCGAAGGTGTGCCGGCTGGGAAAAGAATGTGCTCCACGCCCAAGTGCACTAACCACTAGTGGTACAATTGCTGTGGGAAACAGATCCGATCGGACGGAATAGCGGACTCAAAACGATCTGCGTACGTGTTGCCAAAATAGCGTGCAGGATCAGCTGATAATCTGCAATCTTTCCCACCGCACATGCAGAGTACGAAATCCCAGAGATATACCAATGTTGCAGCATTCATGTGGCCAGAATACCCAGACATGACAGGCACAATAAAGTCCCGGAGGTAGAAAGGGAACGGAATTACGAGGCAATTATGAGACACGGGCGACAAATTGAAAGATGGCATCTGCTGCTGGCTGGGAAAGCCATACAAACGTGGCCATGACACTTGGGATGCGCTTCGCTGGGTCAAAATCAGAGGAGGGCGGAGAGCCAAAACGGGGAGTTGGTCGCTATAGAGTGTGTTATGTAAGCTGGTGACAAATGAGCGGGCTGAGAACGGAAGCCAAACTTGAAGCCACAACTCGAGAACTCGGGTGTACTCTGTATCTGCATCAGTATCTGTAGCTGTATGTGTATCTCTACACTTGTATCTCCATCTGTTGCTATATCTGTATCTTTTGCTGCGGCTTTTAGTTACACTCCGGGTCTCGGTTGGTTTAATGAACCCAGCGAAAATAGAAATGTGGCGATGTGAAATGATTTGTTGTGCTGGCCACAGAACAGAAGACAAACATAACTCTTCCGTTCCCCCTTTTTGGCATTATTGTGTTATTACAACAATTCGTTATAAAGTTGCGGGCTTGGATAGTTTCGCAGGCCAACAAACTTCTAATTGCCCCGACCCCGTGCTCGGCATGCAACCGGGAGACTCAGTACTTGGAGTTTACGAGGCTATATTGCTGGTTTTTAAATTTAATAGAAGCAAGAAAGTCTATCATGTAAAGACTTTTAAAAAGTATGTATACATTAATTCTTCAGTTAAATAAACAATCTATCTATTATTTGTTGGATAGCCCATAGTTGGGAGTCTTAAAATTTTAAAAATAAGTTTCTTCCCCTTATTTCCTCAGAACCCTGATTTGTGTCGTTGCCATAATGGGATCCATAACGAGCTCGGGTTGAAGTCCGAGATTGAGAACTATAGCTGGCGTGCGGCTTCCATTAAGATATGATTGCGATCCACTATCTGTGGCATGCTGGGGAGCCATCAGCAGATCTGCCCGTAATCGTAATCCCGGCAGACACCTGTTGCAATTAGCGGCCAGACGGGAACTGCCAAAAAAGGGGCAAAAACTATGCTATTCCGCTAGCTAGCCATGTTGGTCGTTAATCAAAGAGAGCGACCCAATCAAGTTGACCTCAAAATCCAGACGGGACAAAGCGTCGCGAATTTATTGTCGTAAGACAAACGCACAAGTTCTGCACGGCATCAACAAAAAGTATATAGAAACTTGTTTGTGGAGAGAACTGTAACTGTTCCCCCCGGACAATAGGATGAACGGCCCTCTTTCAGTTCCCATAACTTGTGAAAATTAGCATATCCATTCACCTATATTGATTGATTCCATCATAAAGCATAAATAGTTCGCGGCTAAGACAAAAGACCCCCTCGGGCGATGCCTCCGAACTTCGACTCACCTACTTACGGCCAGAAACTAGTAGGCCCTAAAGTTGGGACCATTAAACTTTGACAGCTCTGGCAGCAATCTAATTCGTATTAACTTTTTCTGCGGCTGCCCCTTTGGACAACAGCACCTCAATTATGTTATGGATGGGAACAAGTCGGGTCGGAAAGAAACTGGGTTAATTCCATTCATTCAATTAGAATAGGAACAGCCGCGAGGGTTGGACATACATACCTCCTCTGGCTCTGTTTTATGGCCAAGTTGCAAGTTGCCTCGCTAATTGGCGTCGCCTGCTCAAATCTCGGACTCTGGGAAAGATCTTCTTTCTTCTGGCCAAGAAACGAGCCACTCAATCTGCATAATTTAGCACAGCCCGGCCCAGCCCTTGCCTAAGCAGAGTTAATGAGAGACTAAGCATCCGATTTGAGAAAAGCATCTAATTATACGCGGATTCTCACTTTATTTAAGACATAAATTTTTATTTGGGAACATTCGGTGGTGTTTTATGGTAGAAAATTTTAGCATAGAGTCTAAACCTAAGACTAATACAGGAAATGCCCTGAAGGGTAAGTCTTGGAACCTATAATTAAGCAGATTCGATTTTTCAAATAAATATTTTTATTAATGGGGAGTTTTGGGTGAGGCCCGTCATATAGAAATCATTGATTGGATTTTAATTAAAATGTATGGTCTCATTTAAATATTAGTTTTATTTATAGTTTTTGGAATAAAAGATTTAAATAAAGTTCATAGCAGTTACTCCAAATAAACTCATCTTTAAAGTTGTTATTTATATGAATAGTGATTTAAACTGTGCATAATAATTAATACAATGTTCAACTGCTTGAGGAAAGTTAATTGTTATGCGCTTGGCTTCACGCTAAATATGTGAATTTTTTCTGGTACAAGTAATGTTTCTATCTCGGAGCATTCAACTCCATTGGCTTGTAGGCTCACACCATTCAAGCCCATGGAAAACAGGGGAGATGTTTTCGTGCCACTTACATGCTTTTCCAGCGCTGCTTGTGGGTAAGTGTGCCACTAATCCGAGCTCTTAAATCCGCAGGAGATTCTCCAGGTCTCCTCTTTAGCTTGACACCAGAAAAGTCACAGTCGCGCTGTTGCAGTTGCAGATTCTCCACCGTTTTCCTCCGGCCACAATTTTCACTTTGCTGCCGAAGCGACAGGGTCAAGTACTGACTTTGGCACTGTCTCTGGGGGCTTGTATCTGGTATCTGGGTATCTCGTAGAATGTGCAACCGCAAATCAAAGCGTTGACGGCGCCTTCGTGTTCGGCCTGGTAATTTTCATTTGGCAACAGTGACTACAAACATTTTTGCACTTCATTAACTCGTCTAACATTTGTGCGGCAAATGCCACGGGAAATTCTTCTGTCTCTCGTCTGTCCACCGCGCACTGCCCCTCTTGTGGCATTCACAGATTCGCGGAGTTACCGTTTGAGCACGCGACTCCGAAAAAACAACAAGTCACCGGAGAAGATACACCAAATTGAAAATCGGAAAGTCGGAAAAATCGTGGAGCGGAGCACGACCGATCGCGGTAGAAGTCCAAAGCAGACTGAACGAATGTCATGACCACAGAGCCAGAGACAGGTACTGCCAGGCGGGAGCGAGAGAGAGCGGAGGCGCACCTGGGGACCACTGCGAGCACCTTCAGCTGCGCAGCCGCACACGTCGAGCGGCTCTCAAGATCCAAAAAATCCAAGAGCCCCGCCGAGATTAACTCTTCTGTGGAAGCCCCTTGTAAAAGTTAATATATACACTGCCAGAAAAGAAAGCTTAGGTAAAAACAAATAATAAGAATTATGAAAGAAAAAATAACAACTATTTTAAATTTATTAAATAATAAACTAATTAATAAAAACTCTAATAACTTTGACTTAGTTTAAGGTTATATTTCATGTGCTCGCACTTTGGTAGCAGCTGTTGCCACCAACGGGCGGCCGGGAGATTTGAATTGAGCCAACTAATGGCCGATGTTTGTTTGTTTTTTGGCCAAGTTTAAGCGTCCGCTTTGAGCGGAAAGTGCAAGCCAAGCAACCACTGCAGCTGCTTCTCTGCCATTTACCGATTGTTAGTTTAATTGCAATAATGGACGACCCGATGGGGGATTTCAAGCTCCATCCACATTATGGGATTCCAATTCGGCCTCGGCTTAAAGTTGGAGAATTTGGGTTAGTGTGTGCGGTTTTAGGCCTCAACAAGTTGCCAAAGACTTTCGCACAAAGCCCAGCTTTCTACCGGTGTTGTGTCTTAGGGTATCAGAATTCACAATTGAGAGTTTATTTGATTGATGCAACAACCTGTATGAAAGGCCTTTGAAACGATTTGGCCCCAGTTTGCATATCCAGCTGCTGGGTGGGCTGCACTCTTCAGCCCAGGGTTTCAGTTCCAGCCCAGACTTTGCTAATTAGCTTAATTACCCAATGCTGGAGGCGAATTAATTTCACTGGCGGCAAACGGTGAAAAATGTTGGCTGAAACAAAAGCAGGCGAGTGTTGAAGCCACTCCCTCCCATGGGTGGGAATGCACAGTGAAAAATTGGTGTTCATTTTATAAAAGAAGCTATTAATAAACCAAAATATAATAAAAAGTTCGATTTTACATTTAAAATACTATTGGAAAAAATTCCACAATGTCAGGAGTAAAGATTAAACCTGACGTTTTAGTAGCTTTTAAGAGATATCATATATTATCTGTTTGGGTGGAAAATGAGCCAGAATAAGCCAAGATCGTTAGCAACTGATTGGCGCCCATTGCCAGCGCCTTGGCCAAAAGATTCGGCCTCGGGCTAAAATGCTCTACATGCATGCAGTCTGAAGCTTCAAAGCCCGAAAATTGCGACACCTTCACGTGTTGCGCGCAATTGGAAGACGCTCCACAAACTGTAACCAAAGCGGAGCAATTAACGAGCTCCCACAATGGAGTGTTGGGGAGGAGAGGGGATCGAGCCCATTTATTTGCGGCAGCTTGGCTGTGTGCGGCATTTGCATTTAGCCGGCTTAACAGGGCGTTAAGCTTGCGACACGGCCATAAAAAACATATCTCCGCGGAGTGGCAGCGTACTTATCTGCCGTAATCCAAGCTTAGATTGGGTGTTAATAAGTCAAGGTCTCCAGCACTGGAGCTCTACGGATGGGAATGTATCTGTATCTAAATCTACATCTGTATCTGCATCTACATCGGGATTTGTGTCTGTATCTGTATCTGGGGAAAATGTGTAATCTTCCTTTTCCTTTCTAAACGCATTTCACTTTTCGCCAACGCAGCTAAAGAAGCAGCAGACAGGTGTGCAAATATTTGCGAGAAATTGTTAAATGGCCAGAAAAAACAAGCTAGACATTTTGTCGCATTGGGAAACCGCTTACCAAATCAAGTAATTAACGGTTTGATTTACTAAACGCATCGGATTGTCGCCCGTCGGTGGTTAGTTAATGGTTGATGGTTGTTTTCCGATGCCACACACTTCATGTTTATGTGCCACACAAGAAATGTCTTCGAGTTGATGGTTTTGGTTTTTGGTTTTTGCTATTTGTCTTTCCTGATGTTGGCTTTTCCATTTCATTTCGAGTGCTCCAGAGCTGCGCCTGCGCACTTTTCACTGCGTTAGTTAGTGGATTGGACTACGACATTTCTCAAATTCAGCTGCAACGGCCACTGAAAATGTTTTCGCCCCGCTGAGACATCTGCCAATCCTGCCGTTTGCCGATTTCTCTTTCGCTGGAAAAATGTGGCAATAATCGTAAAACTTTGCCACAAATATTGAGGAGAGTAATTATCAGAGCCGCGACTAGCTGTTGCGATTTATGCTCCTAAGTGACTCGGGATGACTACAACTTTCAGCGCTCGTTCCGATTGATCACTTGGCCCGATTTTGAGTCATTCGCCATGACAAGATGGATATCTGTCGGCCGGCAGGAGATGTTGGCCAATCGGCAGTAGGGAAACCTACTGGCTGAAGTAAACAAACTTGGCCCTAACTGAATCATCCCACGATACACTCGTAATCCTCATGAATTTCATCACCCAACACACCGCCAAGTGCACGAATCTGGCAGATAAGCATCGTTGCAATCAGTGCAGATACAAAGACACAGATACAAAGCCCATTTCCGCTGCTGCGGCAGCCCATAAAACTCCATTGTGGTGCATCCGCGACCCTACTTTCTCACATCTAGCTTCCGTAAAAATAATTCAATTTCATGCCGCATTATCTCTGAATAGTATGCAGTGAATACTACTTTATGTATTGAGTATTCTTATGTAAGACCTCGTCTGAAGGAAAGTGCACAGATTTGTGTTTGAGAAGCGATAGCGACATGCAATTAAAATGACCAATGCCACAACTCATCACTTCCATGGCGGCTGATTGAGGGAGAAATTAACCTCGCAATTTGAGCTTTCAAGGCAATACCGGTTCCTGTTCCCAAAGAACTGAAAAAAATGTGAACATTTTTAGGGATCAATACTTAAAAGGGAAACCTCTTGTTTTCATTATGGATCTGCCAAGTATTATCCGAACTACACAGTCTTGGGGTGGCCAAAATACCAACTTTTGAGACATTATTTATTTAATATTTAAGCTTTTTTGTATCGGATATGGAAACGGAATACAATTTTTTAAATCAGGACTTCCAGAATCATCGATCTGGATCAAAATATTGCCACAATCATAAAATACAATTTTGAGTCAATTTTTGGTCAAAATCTTGATGGTACCCCTTTGAAAATTTTCAAAAATGGTGTCAAATTTTAGTTGACCATATTTTGATTTGAAATGATAGTACTCCAAGATCTAAGATCGGGAAGGTATAACATTCAATGATCTGCCTAGTATTAGCCGAGTTATGAATAATTCCCTGAAAAAAACGATGATATTTAAAGGACATCCGTTATTCCTTCAAAAGTATTTAAAAATTAAATAAATCCCGTGTTATTTGAAATCTTATTTTTTCCACTGCATCACGCGGTGGCTCTACACATCATGTGGCTGATATGCTTGCTGCTCCTTGACAGGTTTTCAGTCTTGGCCAGCCGTTTGGCAACAACTTTCACAAACTTTTGCCACACCGCGGACTATCGAACGCGATTCTTATTACAGAATCAGGTGCGGGACTCTCACTCTCTCTACGTCTTCGTCTGAGGAAAGTCACTGAACTGAGCTCCGGCAAACGTGCAACTTGCAACTTGCAACACCGCACGTTCGGTTGACAGTAAAAGTAAAGCGGCAGTGAAAAAGTGAACGCAATCGAAGGCGACCCACATTGCGGCCCAACAATAAGACTCCTCGATCTTTATCTCTTTCTCGCTTTTTCGAGACCCATCTGGGGATGCTGCTCACACACATAAATAAATAAAAAGATTTGGTTTTTGGGAAAATCTGTGGAGAAAAGTGGGTGGCCCACAGCCAACAGCGTCTGTAGACTGCCGACTGTCGTCTGTCGGGTGTCGAGTGTCAGCCGTAGAAACAGAAATCGAGCCCAAAACACGCCTGGGCGCAAACGCACACGCAAAACAAACCAAAGTGGCCCAAACGAGCCATTGGCGTGACTTAATGATGCATAAATATAAGAGGCTTCGGCCATCCAACAGAGCTTGATTACACTGAGAATGAATATTAGGAGGCTTTCTAAACAAGGATATGCTGTACTTGGCCTATCAAGTAGGACCACTACCCCTACGGACAAGTTAATTTTAAACAAAATTTAGCTAATTACTTAATTTACTATTGTTTTTTTTTTCTCGCAGTGTTAAGATCCAGCTATGGCACGCATTTCTATCGCTGAATGTGGCTTAATTGCTTACATTGCCGCTGCGAGACCAACGAAAGTGAGCCGCCGATCGCCGGCCAGTGAAATGGCTAAAAACAAAAGTGAGCCGCCGCCGCCGCCGATAACCAGAATTTCCAGCCAGACTCCTCTCATCCTTTTTTGGCAGTCTGTGCAGAATTTCATTGCTTTTCACTTTTTCCTGTGGGCTGAACTTTGGCTCGCCCGCTGTGCCATGTCTTGCACGTCTTAATAAATTGGATATTGATAAAGTAACGTTGAAAACATTTTTAAGTCTTGATTTATTTAAGAAAAAAGTCCAGAAAACAAGCTTCGGGTTTTGCAAGGAAAATTCTAAGTATGTTTTTATAATACTGTGAGTATTTAATTGATTTAAAAATATAAAGTCAATATTTGATATATTTTTAAATAACAGTATATATTAATGGAATATATAAAGAAAAAACCATTGTGATTATTGAATACGGAAATATGTATATTTTGTTTATATCGCTTTTAAACATTAGTTCAATTAAACTTCACAGACTCCTTTTAAGAGGTTTCTATTGTTTATATACTGGTTAGGACTTTTTCTCAATAGTACCAAAGCACGTACACGTATAACACGATCAACACGAATAGCAGATGGATGAGAAACAGCTCGATGGCCAGGGTGAACAAAGCCAGAGGCTTGAGCGCCACATAGGTGATCTGGACGAACATGTCAGTAGCAGATCTATTGAGTATTTGCTGGTAGCTGTAGCTGGGATATTGCCTGAGATTATAGTAATCTACTCCTGAATCGTAAAGGTCAACTGCTTGCTGCGTGAACTCTCGAAGCGATTGGGGGTGTGCATGCTGAGCATGGCGGAAATTCCGATACCCAGGATGCCCAGAAGCAAGCTCACCACCAGCAGACCTGCTAGGATTGGAGCCGATACGAATCCCACGCAGTCGTAGACCTCTCCAAACTTCTGGCGACCATTTAGCCAGGGCTGCACCTGGAAATCACTGAGCAGTAGGCTCTGGATGGTTTCGTTCCGAGCGGTATTCAGGAAGGTAACGTTCTCGGCCGAGCAGCGGTATGAGAAGCCGACTGGAGCATTTGGCAAAGAGTACTCATCCCCGCGGGCCAAGAGCACACTCTTCAGATCTTTGTACTCCACTTCCACGTTACGCAGAGTCCAGGATCCACGGATCAGAGAAAACTTAAACCTCAGGGTGCACTTCTCCCCGGAGTGCATGAAGGTGATGCTCAATCGTCCATAACCCTTGGCGTGTTGGTCGTCAAAGGTTATTTGCTTAGTGTGCTCCTTCAGGCTGAGGGTTTCGTTGGTCAACCTAAGCTCCAGAGGTCCATTCAAACTCAAAACTGCCTTGTTTCCCTCCGCCACGTAGATGAAGTTGTCTTCGGTCTCTTCGGGTCCCTCTGGCTCCTTCTTTTTGTTGGCTTCCTCCTCGCCGGCGGCTGCGTCCCTCTTGGCCAGGAAGTGAGCCTCCTCCTCACGGCTGGCTAAGATTCCGAGAACCTCTCCTTGCCCAAAGGTAGCCAGAGCTTCGTTGTAGGCTGTTAGGATTTCAGCGTCGTCTTCTTCTGCTCGGCCGGAAAGGTTCACCACCTATAACACAATAATATAATTAAATTTATAATAGAAGTGGCATGTTTTGAGTAAACAAATACATATATTGGCAACATAAAATGGCATCTACTACACATATGAGAAAGTTAATTGAACACTCAACACATTTCAGCAATGAATATAAATAAAAGTTGTTTATTATCCATTTCACCATCGAGGGATTATGAGATTGTGTGATTCACACGCACATAAATATTTATATCCGCACTTCAATATAGTCTTTAATAAAAACATGTTTAAAACAAAAATAGACTGAATTGAACTGAATAATAAAGAAAACTTGGCCACTAGAACTGGAACAAAATAATCCAATATTTCATGATATAGATACATAGAATCCTCACCTCAATATTGACATTGTGTCCAAAGGGCTCCACAGCAAGACTTCTCTGGGGCAGATACGACCAGGGTCCGCTCTTTACCAGGTTCTGGAACTGCGGATACTTGGTGCCCTCCAATCGTCCCGTGGCGTTACGCACAAACACCACAATGGCCGTGGCCTCCTTGAAAAGTTGCGTCAGAGGCAACTCCTGGCTGCTGGCGTCCAACAGGAGCTGCGGTTGAACCGATGCCACCTTGGAGTTGCCCCAGAAGATGAACGGTCCGCTGATGGATGCAGTGCAGCTGCCGAGGGCCAGACACAGCAGGGTCGCCACGAAAATCTGTCGCATTCTGGAGATGGATGCCTGCAGCTCTGAAGTATCTAGCCAGTCCTAGTCGACTGCCTGCCCTCGATTGAATGAGGGATGTATGTATGTACTGAAAAATCGATTGGGCGAGCGCAGGCGCAAAAATAACTCAAACAGTGGTGGGTCTGTGAAAGTGGTGGGAATATATTCAAAGAAAGTGTGTTTTTCGGGCCGATTTGTCTCTTCTATTTCAGGTCAATATTTTGAAGAGTAGCAGCAGCGCAGATGGTATCTAAATTCCTGTAGAAAACCGTTGTAGGTCAGTTTTTAGGTAAACTGTCAACCACTAGACATTTTACCAACTGAAAATTTGAAGATACATTCAACAAAAATTGCATAATCCTTCACAATAGTTCAGATATTATATTTTTATTAAAAAGCTGTACAATTATTTATTGTCTATATTATAATGCATTATTTACAAAAACCTAACTAAAGACACAAATATACACTCATCTACGAAGCTAGTGACTACATTTGGTGAACAAAAGTATCTGAGTATTGAACATATTCTAACAATAAAGTATCAAGAAGATTTTTACAAAAAACTAAGGGCGAGGCTGATGACTACGATGGATAAACTAAAAGCCTTTGGTTGGATTAGATCGGAACTTGAGGAATAGAAGCCACCCTTGAAGTTTTTGGTTCCTGTTGGTGGAATAAGAAATTTATATGTGAAATAAGATCATTTCTTGGCATTGTCATATACGTACTCTTTTCATTGGTGTCCCTAACACCGCAGGTGCGATATGAGATAGTAGCCTTTCGCTTGGTATTCACATATCCTGGAATGTATAGACTTGGAGCATCTAATCTTCCTGCTGCTATCAGTCGCGACATGTCCAACTCCAGTCGGTGAGCAAGAGGTCCCTTGAAGTGGATAATCATCTGGATGCAGGCTCCGCCATGAAGCTCCTTTGTTTTTCGAGCATCCACATCCAGCATCCATTCGGGAATTCCCATCACAGAACGTAGTTCCTCAAGAAATTGGGCACTAAATATTTAAATTTAGAAGTTTGTTAATCACAGTACTCATCTAAGCTAAGGTCTACTTACACAACAAAGCGAGGTGGCTTCTGAAGGTTGATGTACTTGATGACATTGTGATCGGGTTCAATATTGGCACAGGCAAACCTTTCATGTGAGTTATCCGGACCAAAGATCACAATGGAACGACCAATGGCTCCCACAGGGGATTCCAAGGGGAAATTTGAGTCGGTGAAGACCACTCTTTCGCCACCAAGGTCTAAGGGAGATAATATGGTTTAATTATCAAATTTTTAGGAGAAGGTTAAACACATACCTATAGTTCCCAGACGAGCTCCTACATCGCCCACATAGCATCGAAGAGGATTATCTGGACCACATTCTTGTTCATAAAGATCCAACTGAAAGAAAAATGGTTCAAAAAATGGAAAATAAGAATCTCATAATTAAAATATTAAAACTCACATTCAAAGGATCTGCCAGCTGGGTATAGTAAGGATTCCAAACATAACCGCCTGCCACACATCTCGTAATTGTGGGCTTCACAGCAGCATCTACTCCCACTGGATTTACGTAGATCTGCCAGTTGTGATTCCGGGTGGAGTTGCGATCATTTTTTCCAGGATGTCGCAACTTTACTTCGATTACTGTTTCCGACTGACTTCCATCGCTGTGGATCAACTGCGTCATCTTGATGTATCCATAGGCATAACCCGTGGGATGATGAAAAGATGCTATAGCTCTTAGTTCCCTGGCCTCGCTGGGGCTATAGCCACGTTCTAAGGTGCTGTCATAATCGATTAAAATGTATTGAACATTGAAGATAATTAATAACCTTACCTGCAAGCCCAACGGGCATTTTTCTGTCTTTTCTGAATAACCACAGACCTTCCAATAATGCTATTATAGCCAAATAGTGGAAGATTTGTGTCGTTGTAAGAATCTTCAAATTGGGTGACTCCTTCCAGGCCACCAAACTTTCCACTCAGATCCCCCATCTCGTACTGATCCGTAGTGCCTCGTTTAGGGGGTGGAGCTGATTTTGGATTAACATCAAAGGGATTCCAGTGGCCATAAAGAGTAGAAGCTTCACAGGGAAAGGCCAGATTAGCCTCTACGGGAGTCTAGAAGAGATACAAAAATTAACATCCTGATCATTATAGTATAGCCAAGAAATACTTACTCTGTGAATATGATATCCTGTATTGTCATTCAGTCCTTTGAGCTGTACTTCCACGTTACTTATGTCATATTCTGACTGCTGGGTGATTTCCACTCTCCCACTGACCGTCAAGGGATCTCCATTGGCGTACCATTCCTTGGCCACCACTTTTCGGCGAAAATGTCCGATCACCGCCGAGCAGGCCAGCCGCTCTCCTCTAGCCTTGGGCCCGTTGTCCTCATAAAGGACCAAGGACTTACCCAAAATGCTGTGGCGTCCTGAGAGCGGAAGGTTCCCGTCCACAAACATTTTTCGGCTTATTTTCTGAGCCACTCGCTTGCCACCTGCAATGGTGAGTCTTCCCAATCTTGCATCCAAAGCTCCCAATCGGCACATGGCTGGCAGATGGGGCTGACAGAAGTCATCGGCACTGCGATTGCCCCAGTCCACACGATAAGGGTTAAAAACAGGTCCTGCGGAAATGCACCGCTGCTGCCAGTCGTAGAAGTCCTTGCCGGGAGCAGCACTATGAATAGCCCAGCGATGATCAAATGTGGTATTTTGCGTGGAACCATCAGCCTGGATGAGGTATTCAAACAACATGGTGGTGTCCTGCCAAGGCTCTTCTGCCGCTTGCCGGAAGATGACGCGACCCACCACAGGATACCGGAAAAGAACCTGAAGAGCAGTAATATTTATTAAAATATACTTCCATTAAGTGAAGTTTGTTACTTACCTGCGCCGTGATCATATTCTGCTGATATATTCCATTCTTTTGATACTGTCCCAGACTGGAACATCCCCATATACTTTGCGTAATATGTTCCACATCGGTCCGGTTGTAGGTATAGATGACCAGACTGCGTTGGACTATGCTATGACGGCCTTGGAGGGGCAGGAACACATCCCAGTAAAGACCACTCAATTCAGAGCTGGTTCCGGGCAGAACGTACTGGTGAAAATATCCCTTATTCCGACCTTGCAGCTTCCCGGAGAGATCGCCAACCGCGTACTGCTCTTGAGTACCATATCCAGGCGGAGGTATATTATCATTTAGTTCTCGGGGATTATGCATTTCACCTGTGGTCCAACAGTAGTCCTCGTGGCCCATTCGCTGGGGCACTGGCGGCAAGCTGTGGATCTTAAAAGCAGCCACATCCTCGGCAAATTTGCGACTCACATGCTGGGAAAGTGGTGCTTCCAGGGTGAAGTTCAGGAAGGTGGGGTCAAACTTGGAGCGTTGGGTGAAGGTGACTTCTCCTTTTACTCCACCAGAGTTAATAAAGGTTCTGCAGAAGATCGGTAAATATTAATTTTTAAAATTTATCATTAATTACTAGAAACCTACTTGTAAGTCAGGGGCTGGACATGGCGAATCTTGGTACAGGCCAGATAAGTATCCGGATGCTGGTTGTCAAACAAAACCAAGTAAAGTGTCCGATGTGGAATCGTGAGATCCGAGGGTAAAAGTGCCAGTTGGGCATCTCGGAATACAGAGCGTTGCGGGGATCGCAGGGCGTTCTTGGCGACACCGATTCGGCCGAGACGGCTATCCAGATCACCAATGCCCTGACCAGCTCCACCTCCCTGAGGATCGAAGACCAGCTGCAGGAAATTGCAGTTATCCTCTGTTCGGTGATGGTCAAGTTTAAAGATATCCGTCACGAAAATCTTCCAATGGTGTTGGGTGAAGGGAGTTCCTCGGCCATTTCCGCCCTCAAGAGCCGCCGGTTGCTCTCTAATGTGGTACAAATCGGAATAGATCAGCGTATCTCCACTGGATCCCTCTGCCGGAGCCAACCACCGGAAGTGAACGGATCCGGCTATGGGTGTGTTGAATCGGGCCTCTGCCATGTGCTCCACAGAACTCTGGACTGTGGTGATGGTGGCACAAATTCGAGCATTGGAGTTGACCTCAGTTAAAACCAAGGACTTTCCCCATATTCCTCGATCACCAATCAGTTGCATGTTACGCTCCCAGGTGGCAGTTTCGTTTCCCGGCAACACCAGATATTCCAGATCTTCATCGAAGCTTAGAACTTGAGTGCCCAGGCGAGATAGTTCACATCGTTCATCAGGGTCGGTGTTGGAATAGTCCACGGGGAATCGTCGAACAGCCCAGCTCCATACCTGATCGGGATACTGAAGAGTGGCCTCCAGACTGGCCTTGATCTCCACCGTGGTGGCATTCACCTGCCGGAACGTGATCTCCCCATGAAGACCGCGCTGGGAGATGTAGGCGATCAGATGCTGTGCATCAGCTGAGAGTAAAAAAGTAAGAGTGATTAATCGAGAGTGTGGTAAGATATCACAGCAGGGTACGCAGAGAAAAATCATCTTTTAAAATATTACAAAGCGTTTTCTATAGAAACTTCACATACAGTTTTTTTTTTTGGAATTACTGGCGGATTTTATTAGACTAAGATTTGAATAGTTTAGTAGTTATGTTACTTATTTTTTCTCTGTGTACCAATTCATTGAAGTGCAACTAAGAGTGTGGTGAGTTATCTCCGGTCGCGTCTGAGATACTTTTGATTTCTTGAGTAAAAAACTGTCTCAGCCACGCAATATTTGCATACAATGCCATCGATTCCCACAACTTATGTACCTCCACCGAATGCTGATGCAATCGAGCATAAAACCGCAAACCGGAAAAGATGACCAACAAGAATCATTATTCCGCTTTTCTTTTACCAGAACCTTAGGTGTTCACCTAAAAAAGAGTGTCTTTCGGATAGATTTGGCAATCGAAGCTGACTTTCACATCGTCGTGCGCATGCGTGCGCGTTTTTCGGGGAAACAGCCCACGTCGAAACTCAACTGAAAACTGGTAGCTCGAAGGTTTGAGCCATGCCAGCGACTTGGCCAAGTGTGGGGAGTTGGCTGGCATTGTTGGAGCCACGCTTTCAGCTCTGCTTTATCAACGGTTTTGTTTTGGCCTGTAACTGGTTTCCGGCACGGCTCAGCTGAGTCACTGTAATTCCCGCCCATTCCTTCCGCTCTCCAATAAAAATTAAACTTCAATGGTTTTCTTGTTTTTCCAAGAGGTCTCAAAAATGCTTAATATTTATTTTTTTCTGATCCACAATCGCTAAGAAATTAATTGTATTAGCACTTAAAGAGAAATAGGTTTGTCCCAACCTTTTAATAATCAAAACTCAGTATCTTAGTGTTTTAAGACGACTCGCTTATGCTTTATTCCAAGACTTCGTCATCATATCATCCTGTAGTTACGTTGTATAAAAACAGTACACTTCTGTAGTTCATCTTTTTTTGTTTGTTTTTTTTTTTTTTTATATTTCTGACCGGGTTAAATTTTTTTTCTGAATTTTCGCATCTTGCCATATATAACTTAAATTATACTGAAGTAAAGATTCGATTCACATTCGCATTTAACAACATGCTGCATGTTGCATGTTGCTTGTCGTGAAATGGATTGGTGGTTTGTGTTGTGTGTGCTCGTGTCGAGTGTTCGGTATGTGTAGTGAGTGTGAGTGTTAGTACATAGTATAAAGTCTGGCTTGATCTTCGTCCGATCAGCCTAGGTACTAGTGGTTGTGGGCTCTGGGCATTCCCGAAGAAACACCCCGAAATCAAACTACCTCCCACCTTTGCTCCCAAGGAAGTCACTTACCTCCTCGGCGGTACTTATTGCATTCGAAACGCATTAACTAGAAACACTGGGTTGATTGTTTGATCGTTTCTTTCATATTTCATATATCATTTTGGGGTTTTTTTTTGTTTGGGTTGTTGTTGTTGTTGTTTATAACGCTGATAGTTCATAAGCAGAAAGTTGTGGTAGTGATTAAGTTATGTAAATTCGCATAAAACAATTTGAGTGAATGAACTTAATGTTTCTTTGTTATTTAGCCTAACTCTCGATAACTTGCAATAATATTTCGTAACTCATAACTGATAATTGTAATTGATATTGAAATTGAAACTGAATAACAAACGATAGATATGCAATAACGATAAATATTTAGTTTTCATAGAAGGATAATAATAATTGGCTCTCAGTTAAATGTCCCTAACAATAGTCTGCTGAAGGTTTGCCTCTCTCTCTCCAGGTCCTGCGAGTATCAACGAATGAAAAACATCAATACTCACAAAACTCTTTAAAAAAATTCAAATTCAAGTTTAAATTCATGGGTCCAGACCTAACGCAATTAATATATATCCAGCCTAGCTACCCACTATAGCAATATTCGCCTCCTCATATCATATAACATCCTTTATACCGATCTCGATCTTCAATCATCTCACTCATCTTTCGGGTTCTTCAACGGACAGCGATAAAAATAGACATTGCTTGGTTGTTGTTTTTAAGTTTTTTTGTTGATTTTATAGGTGTTTTAAATAAAATAGATTTTAGCATTTTTTTTTTGTTTTATAAATTTTACGTGTAAAATTTAACAGTAAAACAACTAGAAAACTACGCATCAAGTTCTACTGTGACATTGATCGTGAGTATCCCTAATTATGATGGACAGATACATGGTAAATGATTACTAATCTGTGATCGCTACCAAAAAGTGTTGTTGAAGAAGTTTAAGTTGTTCTTGTTCTTGTTGTTGTAGTTGATCTTGTTGAGTAAATTTGTTGGTGGTTGGTGGTGGTTAACAAAAGAGATTACAAGATACTGAGAATCTACATATGTAAACGAGCATTTCTTTTAATTACGTTTATTATTACTGATTTGACTGATTTAACGATTAACGTTCTGGTTCTGATTCTGGCGGTAAAATATGGATGTTGAGTTGGAAGTTAGGATGTGACAGTGGCTGTTTAGGCGGCCTCCTCCTCCTCCTCGTCACCCTTGCCGGTGAGCATCTCGATCAGGGCGGCGGTATCGATCTGGTTCTTGTCGTCGATCACCATCTGATCGTAGGCATCATCAACCTCCTTCATGGTGAACTTGTCACCGAAGTTCATGAGCATTTCGCGGAATTTGTCACCGTCGATGAGACCATCGTTATCGAATGTTTTGAAGGCAGCAATAACAACATCGTCTTCATCGTTGGCACCGGAGGTGGCCATACGGTTGGCGAACAGGGTCAGCAACTGGGTGAAGTTGATCGGACCCGAGGCCTCGCCCAGCATGGCGTCCAACTCCTTGTCGTTGGCGATCTTGCCGACGGAGTCGAAGGCAGCGCGCAGATCGTTCTTGCCAATAATACCGTCCTTGTCGGCATCCATGAGTTGGAAGGCCTGATCATCAAATATCGGCACGCATCGGGGATACATTGCGAGACAGAGCGAGCAAATAGAGAGAGAGAGAAAGAGAGAGAGTGGGTTGGTGACTTGGTCGTTGACAAGTGCGATAGATGGATCCATGGTGGGATGATTGGATGATAGGATGAGGGGATGTCAAGATGTCAGGATGACAGGATGATGGGATTGGGTTGGAGTGGAATGGAATGGAAATGGTGTGATTCGTATGATATGTTCGTCCTGCGACACTTACCTCCTTGAACTCGGCGATCTGCTTCTGGGAGAAGACAGAGAAGACCGAGGAGCCAGCACGCTTCGATTTCCTCGAACCGCGGGAGCCGCCCGACGCTCTCTTCGAACCAGTGGCAGAAGCGGCCGGGGCAGGGGTGGCAGCTGGTGCCGGGGTTGCTGCCTCAGATGCGGCCTCAGAAGCGGTCTCAGAAGTACCTCCCTCTTCCTTGGTCTTCTTCTTCTTAACCTTCTTCTTCTCATCGGCCTGTAGAAAGAAAAATGGTTGGAATCAGTAGGGGTTAAAGGGTTTAAGGATTGTTTTGATAATTATAGGTCAAGTCGTCAAGTCTAAAGTCCTGGATAGTCTTCAGTAAGCTTTCCTAATTATGCCTTGACCTCCTCTAGGAATTAATCCTTCAGAAATTCTAAATGAAATCTTCTCCATGTATTTGTCCTCCATTTAGAAAATTTTGAAATTTAAGTTCTCCTTGATTTCGAAATAAAAATATGTATCTGGGACGAAAAAATTTCCACTTGGCTAAAAATAAACCGGACGCATGTTACGTAAGCTCTCCGCCGTGCGACTATGGCCGTCTCGCTTGCTCACCGACACGGATATCGGATTACATTACTGCCGCGTAACACTCGGATCAATCCATTTATAGAATTCTGTATACGATTTTCGCACTATTCAACGAAATGTTCACTTGAAGGAGGGGTGTGGAGTTGTACTTTAAAGATCACTTCTTTTTGGAATGTCATTTCTTTGGAATGTAATTGTATCTCTCGAATGCAACTGGTTCACTGCACTGCTAGTAGTAGTAAGTAGTAGTATCCTTGCTGCATATATCCAGATCAGTTCGGTTGGTACTCCGGGACGTGTCCTTACCATGGTGCTGAACTTTGATGTGTTGTCTAATCGAGTCGAGCGGTCAGAGCACACTGAATCTCTGGCTGATTTTATCGCCAAGACAATGATGTTTTAAGATCTTGGCAGTGCTCTGCTTCTTGCCCCGTTTTCGAACTTTCGGCGCTGGTTCGGAAAAGTTCGGGCCCCGATCGCTGTATCTATATCTGCAATATTCGTGATGCCTTTTTTAGTATCTGCAAGGCGAGGTCCGTCCCGGGTGATCGGAGGGGTGTATCCATTAGATATACCTATAGCTATACCCATAGCCACTATAAGATCTACGCTATAGCCTATAGTGTGCCTGTATCCGAGTTGTTTACTCATCGGGCGCTGCTCTAATCAAAAATCTAATTTTAACGGCAGAGTAATGCTTTGGCTTTAGCTTTTGGGCAGAAGCCTATACATATGTTCGGAATTTATTTCGGTGCGTTGCTCGGAATAATGTTCGGGACGGGATCGGATCGGTTCGGTTAGGTTCTCTGTTTAGGATAAATTTCCCCATGTTCAGATTTTGTTTTGTTTTGTTTGATTTTATTTTGCTCTATTCATCTCTGCTCTTGAGGCCACCTCCTAAAGGTGTCCCCTTGCGGTGAAATCACCTACATTTCCCTTAGCAGTATAGATCTTCCACACTAACACACTCAAAAGACATACATATATAGCATATATCTATTCATGCCTATATACTCGATGTTTTTGCCTTGCCTATTTCTACGCTGGCATTTTACGCTACTTTTTTTTTACTTTCGAAATGCTTCGGATATTGTGCAATATGAAGAGCGCCGAGAATTCCAAATCTATAGAATCTATAGTATAGATCTATATGCGCACACGGGTCGGGCGGATTTCGTGTCGCATAAATATCCAACGAACCCGATATTGGACCAAAACTATTTCGGCAACAAATGTGAAATAAACATCTGACTTTTGTATATAGACGATAGATCCATGGACATTGCATAACAATAAGCAGCCATTTTATTTTCCATTTTCGATCTTGTTATTTAAACTTACCAATTTAATAGGATGATAATTCGGATATCTATAAACAAAATAAGCCTCAGACAAATATGATAGATTGGATGGAAATATTTTTTGTATCAATAATTATAGAAATGACGCAAAACTTTAATGAAATATGAAAAACAAAGAGCTTTTCTTGTTTGTTTTTATGTATTATATTTTCTGATTTTAAAATATTTTTCCAGAATGAGTTATTTATTTTGAAAATTCCAAATATTTTTGTATATATGCATAGTAACTAAGTTTATTGTCAACATCAATTCTGTCTATTAATAGAATCTTTTAATTATTATAAGGTTGTTAAATTTGGAAAAAAGAACTTGTAGGTTGATTATTTGAACCTTGCAACAGAGGTCCTTTTTCAATCATTATTATTTTAGCCATTTTATATAAGGTCGCCAAACAAATTCTTTGAAAGACATTTAATATATGTAACGCCATTGGCTAAGATGAATGAATTCCCTCGACTGGCTAATGACATAATTAATGTTGGCTTAAGGCATGCATATCAAACAGAAAATATCTCAATTAATGGTGGATTACACGCGAGAAAGCGTTCATAATTCATCGATCAGACATAATAGAAATCGATGGCAACTGCAGTCTTTTTCGGGCTTCATTGAAAGTGATTTTCGTCGAAAACTCTCTTGGCGCTGCAATTTTGGCACGTAACCAGGCGACATTTTGGCGTAAGGCCAAGCAAAACAAGAAAATATAGAAGAAAACTGCCCACAATCTAATACGAGATGTAGCATTGAATGTATGCAGGAGTATTAATAGACCAAAGTGCAAAAAAATTCTGAAAGGAATGTTAAAATTAATGAAAACTGCTACCAATGTATTACGCTTTGAAAGGTGTACAACTTATATTAATGAATCTGACACTTTGGAAATGTAGGTATTGTTTATGGAGAGGGCAACAATCATACAGAGGATATAAAGGCCTATACATAATATTTGTTTATAACAAGATTTTCTAAATATAAACGCCAAATCATCTTCTATCATCAACTGCGTATGCAAGTATGTGTATGGGTATACACATCTCCACCTGATACACATGCGAACTTGGAGGCTGCTCAGATGGGAGGTCGGACGTCATTGGGAAACAACTGTATTGGGCGCCCGCTGCGCATTTCTGCCTCTTTCTTCATCCTCAGAACCACCTCACGCCTTGGCCGGCCGATAGCCGAAAATAGATGTGCCCACCCGCACAACCGTGCTGCCCATTTCGATCTAAAGGAAGAGTTCAGTCTTTAGAGAAGGTTCTTGGCCAGAAGCTACTGCTTTACATACCGCCCGGTCGTAGTCGTTTGACATTCCCATAGACACGAGTACGGAATCGGGAGTCAATGAATGCGTCTCGCATATGGAGCGGTGCACTTGCATAAGGGAGACAAAATCCGGATTGGGACCTTTGCTGTAGTCAAAGCCATAGGCGCCAATGGTCATTATGCCCATCAGTTTAAGGTGCTTCAGGTTGATCTTGATAAATTCGTATAGGGCAGGTGCCTCTTTTGGTTCGATTCCACTTTTCACTGTCAATAATTCTTGTTGTTTAGTATCTGAAGTCTTTAATTAATAATACTCACCATCTTCGCCGCTAGTATTGATCTGGATGAGCACTTCCAATGGCTTATCTTTTGGTGGCTGCTGTTTCGACCAAGCTGTATCTAGTTTGGTGGCAAGTTTCTGACTGTCCACGGTTTGGATCATGTGTAGATTGGGCACAGATATAACCTTTAATAAGAAATATACACTAGAATAAATTTGAAGAAATTGAAGGTAGTCGAAGGTAGGATAAAGTCTGGCTTAGCTAGTTTTTAAAAGCTTATAGATGAATATGATGAGGAGACTAGTTATGCACAAAGAGAAACAACTTTTGGCTTGAAAAATAATTTTTGAATTCTGTTTCATATTCCTAAGGTAAAAATTCCTATGGCATTTGTCGGAGTTCTCCTACTTTTATAATAATTCTTAATAAGTGATGGACGACAAAATTGTATGAATTTCAAAAGATATTAAAAGAGTTTACTATTTAATCTAATCACAGTCTGACCTTGTTAATCTTATTGCTCTGCATGTGTCCAATAAAATGCCATCTTATGTCAGGGCACTGGGCCACGATGTCCGGATGCCGGCTCTTTTCCTCCAGCTCTTGAACATAGTTCTCCCCAAAGTCCCTTTGCCCAGCTTGATAGGCTTCGATTACTGCATCCGCTGGTTTTGTTTTGCTCACAGCCACGAGAAGGGGTCTGGCTGTTTTGATTTCCTGTAATAAAGATATTGCTGTAAAAATTTACTAAAAGTAATGATTATTACCTTGGGCCGCTGCAGGAGCACCTCATCAATTCGCTTCAATACGTGCTGCAGACCGCCCTTTACATCAAACTCCGCCATTGTGCGCCGCAGCATTAAACTATAAAGAATTTGTTTTCTAAGTGACTGCGTTTTATCTGTAGTTTAAAGACAGTTACAATATAAAATTCCTTGATAAGAACTCGGTCAGCTGTTTGGTTAAACACAAAAACAAATCCCCTAATTGCCTAAGAATCGCCAGTGCTGCCCATTCGATTGCTCAAAATATTATGAATCGATAACATATGGCGCGTGGTTTGAATGACTTTTTAAATCTGCTAAACATTTTTGAAAATATCCATTAATAATAAGTAACTTTTAGTTAGCTCAAACGTTAAACTTCAAATCGCCAATGTCCAATGGAGTCATTTTTCTATGCACCACTAGTAATGGGACATTTGATCATTTTCTTTGCTTTTCCAATCAAATACTGAATCGTTTATAACTCCAAGCTAAAATCCCAGTGCCAGGGAGAAATGCCTCTACCAGGAGTCACATAAACCCTTTTTTTCTCCTCCAAACATGGCGGAAGCCATTCAGGCTGCCTGTGAAAATCTAAATTCCATCGTGGAGTACCTGGCTACCATGCGTGTCTGCGAGATACGACAGTACCTGGAATTTCTCGGGGTTCAGCATGTGGAAGTTTTGGGTTGCATTATCCTGTTTGTGCTGATGCAATTCACAAAGTTCACGGTTGTATTACTACTGGCCATTTGCCTGGCGTATGGAATATTCTATCTGGTATGCGGTTCTCCCCATTTCTGTTATCAGCATTTTATTCAATAAAAACTTTTTGCAGTGGGATACATTCTTCCCGGAGTTGAGCGAATTCAGCCAAAGAAGTATTAAGGCTTTCAAGAGTGTTCGTACATCTGCTGACCTTCCTCCGTTTAACTTCAATACAAACACTGAAGCAGCTCCGGGTAAGAAATATGATTATTTTAGAAAAATATTAATTAACTCTCTTTTCCAATCCTTTAATATAAATCCGTCTAGGAGAGCACGTCATTTTCCCAAAAAAGGTATTTTCCAATCCGTTCTCTCCAAGTAGCAAACAAATGCTGCTCCCCCTGTTGCCCAATGCCACCGGAAAGACCCTGCAAACTTTCAGCCAACAGACAGACCGGCATGTTGTTTCTTCAAAACAAGATCGAACGAAAAAGGATGAGTTTAATCGACCTCGGTCTCAACCATACAGTCCCAGAGAACCACGAGGGCAAAATCAAAAGGAATACCGTGGGTCGTCTGGTGCCAGGGATACCTACGACACTCGAAAGCATCGTCAGGACCGACCGGAGCGCTCGGACAGGCACGAGCGGTCTTACTGGAGTTCGGAAAGGGATCGCGATCGAGGCTTATCCCAAGCTGGACGAAGGACATCCCAAATAGCAACTGGTAGTGGCGGAGCTGGGGAGCCAAGGCGAGGATCTCATACCATAAGAGTTCCGACCATCACCAATGGACTCGTAAACCTTACTAAATTGCCCACGGTCACCAGCGAGACGCTGAGGCGACTGCCAAATATGACCAGCGGAGAGTCCCGACGAACCAAAGAGGATTCCCGCAGATTGCCGGTCGTGACAAGCGGAGAAATGAGTGAAATGAGACGAGTACCTAAAGTAACCAGTGGCAATAACGACTCCCGTTGGTTAACCCCTGGGGAACAGAGGGACTCCCGCAGGAGTTCTCATCCCCAGGGTGGCGGCGGCGAAAATCGTCGAACTTCCCATTCTGGTGGCGGTGAGTCAAAGTCGCGCCGTTACTCTGAGCGACCCCATCCAAATCAAGGGCGTCGCCCGGAGGAACGTTCCGATGATCACAGACAGCAGAAGGAACAAGATCAACGACCACGGCAGCACCGACAATCGACAAAGCCCGACGAAGGTCGACACTCGAGGCAGCGACGCGTCAGCAATAGTCGATCTGGGATTACCAGTCGCCAGTTTCCGGATGAGCACTTGGAGCGGCTGAAGATGGAGAATCGCGACTTTCAGACACGAACCTTGAACGCCGGCAACCCTGGGCATCCATTTTACCGTAACGGAGCTACAAGTAACCGCACTTCCGATAGGTTTTTGCCCCATAATGGGGCTTTAAGTAACCCCACTTCCCAGAGGGCTTTGCCCTCCAAGCAGGAACGCGAAACATCGGGCTATCACCACAGTGACAGACGTGAATCCCAAAGGAATACCACATCAAGTGAGTATCCGTAAAATTCTTAAGGCAGGTTTGTAAACTATTTCACTTGTTAAAGGATTTCTAGTTTATCACCAATTTTAGTTTATATCATATCATATCTTTGTTTCGTTTATTTTAAGGTATGTTTTAGTTCAGTAGGCTACCATATAGATGCTTCATTAGGTATTTGTTTAAATAAAAATTTTGCTCAATATGTTTGGAAACTTTTAACAAAACATTAGAAGCCTACAATTTAAAATTATTAATGATGTTCGGAAAATTTAAATAAATATAGAACTAAAGGTTTTAAAATTGGTTTCATTTTAAAATTTTAGATATAATGAGTTCAGATAAGGTATATACATACTTGTTAATTTCTAATCTTTTGTTTTTTTATATCATTTTTAATACTACAAAATTATATTTTTGTTTTATACTTTCATCTTTTTAAAGACAAAAAGGACTACGACAGGGACAGACCACACAGAAAACCATCCTCCCGGAATTAGTAATTCAGGAAGCCATCATAAAAACCACCATGTAGTCATTTCAAAATCAACGCAAATGTCTGAAAGGTAAAAATTATGCCGAGTTGTAAGCTGTTTCATTTTATAGCTATTTTATTTATTTAAAGCCCTTCCAGGATGAGCACGGAGTCGAAACCCTCTATAAAATTCCAAAAGTATCCATTTGTTATTGAGTACGGGGACACTGACAGCAATGTTACAGAACAATCGAGTGTTGTGCTCTTAAAAGCAATATCCCCACCTGATGCAGAGCCCCTAGTTGCAACCTTAGAACAAAGTAATGAAAAGGAGGAGAAAAATGAGGACAAAATTGAGGTGAAAACTAAAAGCAAGCAAAAAGGCAAAGAAGGTTCTAAACATCTAAACACTTTTAATAATCCAAAGGAATACCCCAATGTTGTGGAAATTCCCAAGCACGTTGGGAAAAAGCCAAGTATAACAAGCTCGCGTACCAAAAAGAGCCAGGACAAACTGGACGACCACAAAGAAAAGAGGAGAAGTGAAACTTCATTTTAAAGCAATTGGAAATAAGAGAAAAAAATAACATTCGAATTCATTAACGTGTAAATTCATTGTGTAAGAAAATTTGTTGTTAAACATTAAATAAACCCCCAAAAGCACTTATTTATTTTAAAACACTTTAATGTTTAATGGCAGGTAAATGGCAGCACTTTTTGAAACCAGTGCTGATAAATACTTTTTCTACACGCTGGTTGGCAACGCGAGCTGAACATGGCAACTTTACAACACTTTCACATTGTTTTGGTTTTGCATTGAAGAATAAAATAATTTATATTTAAGGGATTTATTATATTTCCATTTTTAAACACATGTCATTGCCAAGATGACGATCTTCAATCTGTACATATTTGATAAATTTGGAACTCTATTGCACTATGCTGAGTGGAATCGCACTAAGAAATCTGGCATAACAAGAGAAGAGGTGCGAAACGAAAAACTAAATTTCTCTTGAATATTTATTAATATGTTTTTTTATTAAAGGAGGCCAAACTCACCTACGGAATGCTGTTTTCTATTAAATCCTTTGTAAGTAAGATATCTCCTCATGATCCCAAGGAGGGCTTCCTCTACTACAAAACAAATCGCTACGCCCTGCATTATTTGGAAACACCATCCGGATTAAAGTATGAATATAGCTTATAATTTTTAAGTATTATGTTAATCGTACGCTTATCCTCTGCTAGATTTGTTCTTAACACGGACACAGCTGCCATTAATGTAAAGGAGCTGCTGCAACAGCTGTACGCCAAAGTGTGGGTGGAGTACGTGGTTAGAGACCCTCTATGGACACCGGGCACGGTCGTCACCTCGCAACTGTTCCAGGACAAGCTGGACGAATTTGTTAAACAGTCGCCCATTTTTGGCATTCGCAATATCTAGCTTTAAAATTAGATTCCTATTACTAAGTCTATAGAAAAAAAAAGTTATTCAAATTCCATGTCGCCAATTTCTAAGGTCTATGTCATTAGCTCTGAATTGCAAATTGCGCCGCCAAGTGCTCTGAAAATCGCGAGATCCGGGGGCCGGAAATGAGGTGCAATTTAAAAAAATATCTGGCTAGCAAGAAAAACTGGCCCGCTTGTTGCGCAAGCCCATGTCTATATACGTAGATATGCTATTGTCCCATGCCGATGTCCACTGACCACCGCTGACAAAGGGGGACAAATGTCAAAGTGGTTGCTGCAACTCTGCGATCTTAGCCAGCTTCGCAAACTGATAAACTGACTGTCTGACTGGCTTACTGCTTTAGCGGGTGTTTTACACGGGAAAAATAAGCATAAAATTATGATTAATCACAATCGATTTTTGTTTTGGTCTCTTACCACGGTTTTCACATACACATCTTGGCGTAACAGATTCGATCATTTTAAATGGGCTATTATTAGAAAACTAGTTGTTTCTTATATCAATTAATTAATTTAAAACACACATAAACCTAACAGTAGAAAGAAATATGGAATCTATGTATTTATTTTGAGAATAGTTTACTAAAGTCAGCACTAACAAATTTTTCAAATGCGGAACTCTGTCTCTGCTTAATTTCTAGAAATACTTTTAGTTATGAGAGATCTTTTTCAATCAAATTTCTTTCCGTGCAACTTCACTTTTGTCAGCCAGGTGAGCTGTTCGTCAAGGGTTTTCGCAACTGTCCGTTATAGCTGTGGAAAATGATTTGCAGAATGCATCCATAATCGGGGGAGCAGCACGTGAAGCCGCCGAACCAGTCGCTTTGGCTCCGCTCGGCGGATCTGCTGCCACAGCATGAACAGGCAAATATACAAATATGGTTGGCTATATCTGTATATGAACATAAATATATGTATATATATACATATGTTTCAGATACAGCTGTAAATGCTCATTCCTATATGCGCGCGCGCGCACCGATGTCTCACTTATTCAAAAACGGATTTTGTGCAAGTCACACAAAACATTTGAACTAAATATGTTTTGTAGGTTTTAGAGCTCTTTTTCTTCGTATTGTCTTTTGACGAATTTTAAAACAAGTTTCAACAGCTCCCCGGCCTTTGGCCATACCATTGCAAAAGCCGTTGGCATGGGAGACAATAAAAATGGATCCGAAAAGCGGTTTCTTTTCTCCGCAAGATCGAAGAAATCAATTTCAAAGCCAAAACGCCCAGTCCAAAATATACAAATAAATCAAACGGCCTGGCTTCGGCCAAAAACCATCAACCTAATGATGGACCCTGGTCCCAACCTCATCAAAACAAAGCAAAAAATATCAAAAAAATCGACTCGAGAAAAACCCCAACACACGCACAGGTTTCATCATAAGGTGGCGCCCTTTCAAAATCGGCACTCGCAATTGCATAGGCACTCGTATCTTGTGGATACCAGTTTCGCGGGAGGCTGCACACGAGTGTCTCCGATCGTAGGATAGATATGTATGTCTGGGCAAGCATAGGTTGTTTGCCTTTTGTTGTTTGGGCCCATCGATGTCATCGTTTCCATCGGCTTTCAATTAGCCATGGCGTTTTTGGGGGGTGAGGACCACAGATCAAGCTTTCTGTTTCCATTCGCAAAAGTTACGCAAATTTCGGACCTCTCGGTTTCGGTTTTCGTCACCAACTCCACTGCGTATCCGAGTTTATCACCGCATTGATGGGCAGAAAGCTCCAAAGTTGAAAATTGTCGCCGGGTCACGTCATTAAATGACCGCTATCTTGATTGTTCACCGACTCTGAGTTTCCCGCGCGTAGTTAAAATATTTACGAGCAATTGTGGCAACCATTTACTATTTTTCACCTGCCCGTTACTATCTGATGAAAGAAAAATACCCGATCTCAGAAATCCCGTGAACACCCACACGGATTTCAAGTGGCGATCAAGGCCCTTCGGCTTTCGGAGGCGGACCTGATCGGCAACAATAAGCCATAAACAGGCCCATCTTGAGCTCAAATGTTATGCAAATTTGTAGGCCTAACATCGACCATTTTGTCTATATTTTTGTGTGCCAAATTCGGACGGATGTAACCAGAAATACGTAGAAATCTTGAAATATTTCGCATAAATCTTCATGCCAGATGTCAATGTTCTCAGTATTATTTATAGGAAATTACAGGAATACTAAGCAACTCTCCAATTTCGGCAACCTCTCATTTATTTCGGTTATCTATAAATACCTAACTAATTTAAAATTTAAAGCTACATTCATTAATTTCAGGGGTATAGACTGTAAAGGAGGCTTGTCTGTAGAGAAATAAATAAAAATTGGCAAGAAATTCTGAATTTTAATTCAATCTTATTAATATCAAAGAGTTCGACATTAGAAATAAATTAAAATATGCAAGAAATGTAGAATTTTTAAATAGTTATCATTAATTTTAAGGCCTATGATACTCTTTTACTTTCGTTTTATTTCAGAATTGGCTTTCGTTTTACAGAATTGGCTAATAAAAATTTGTTTAAAGAGGCTGGTCTTAACATTTTGAGTTCTGTGGGCGGTGGTAATAATGGTAATGTTTGGTAATAACCAAAGTATTTTTGGAAAACCTCTTTTTCTATTTTATTATCTGCGAGCTAATCAACCGAAAATATCAAAGTTCCCTTTAAAACACATGCATAGTTACCTCCAACTAAAGACTCTTCCCTCGCAACTCAAATATTTAATTATTTTTAAAATTATTGGCAAGTTGATTATATTCTTTGGTAAAACGCCCCGTTGAACTCTAATTAGTTCTTGCCTAATTCATTTAAGAACTTTTAGTTAGGATAGTATACAACTATGGAAATCATTAAATAAGTGAAAAGCATCTGGGATGGCCAACAACTAAAGCAAAAATTTTCACTTTCATTTATTTGCCATAAATACGATGTCTAATATGTGTTTTTGAAAGCCTTTTTTATTACATCCACTGAGCAATTTAGGCTGACCTTCAATTAACTAGGCCCACAAGAATGAGTTGAGTTGTGGGCTCGTTTGCTGTCCACTGGCTCGTCACCAATTAGACAACGATGAGCACCACACTGGGCGCTAATGAGATGACGATGACAATGACAATGATCGGGTCTTTCAGTTTTTTTTTGGTTATTGCACAGATTGTTGATATTGGCAAAACACTTGACCTTCCATACGACCGGCAACAGGCCTACGAAGACAAAAAAACGTTTCTTAACTTTACGTTGCATGATTCCATGATTTATAATCTTGTTTTGAAAATTTGTTTAGGCCAGATAGGTTAAATTGATATAAATTTTAAAATCTTTGATGGCTGTAATGACCAACATTTTGTGGCATGTGTGTAAGATAGTTTTTATCGCATAAGGGAAGGCATAAAAAAATTAATATTCATTTATAATTAATGTATTCTGATTTTGATCAGATAAGGTGTAGATGAAAATGATCGGAATTTATTTGGCAGTTTGCAGATCATAAAAGTTGAGCAAACTACTTGATTAAAATGTTTTTAACGATCAAGGATTTTCCGTATGTTTCCCCATTGTCCAGCACAAGTCATAAATATAAAGTGCTCCAGGAATTCCCCTTGAGTTAAGAGGCTTGAACCTTTTCAAGGTTCTTGATCTGGGATATGGCGTACGTGCCAAGTGCACGTAGGCCTTGTCAGATTCTTGGAGCTCAGGGGCAAGTGGTGGAGCAATCAATTAAGGAACAATTACCAGCGTCTAGGCGCATCTTCCTTGCGTCAGTTCCTGCGACTCAAAGTGCATCTTTAGGCCCGATGCAACTTTGGTCACGTAGTCCAAAGTCGAACTCAAACCAGTTGCAGCTAAAACAGCGTCTAACTCCACCCGAATCCCGCCTTCTCAGCCCACGACGGTCGATAGTAATAGTGATTCAGATGACGTTGTTGGATGACAATGATAAAAAATGCGATCGCATTAGTTCGTTCCATTTCCCATTTCCATTTGCATTTTCATCGCCGCCTGCGTGTTATTTGGTTTATTTCGTCAGAGCTTCAAATTGCCTGTAAGCTGAAGCTGAAGTAAATAGGGTCAAAGTGGTGGGTGAGAGGGCTCAAACGAGTGGGAGAAAGGTATACCCGCCGGTAAGATTTCTATGCAAATTTAACTGATTTTTTTTTTCATATTTTATTAGTATTACTTAACCCATTCTCCTACACCTAAAAATGTATATGTGTTTATTCGAAGTGTTACCGATTGTATAAGCTAAATCTAAAATCATGTTTTTAACAAATAAATTGAAAATACAATTTTACTTTTTGTATACAATGGCAGCAGATATAATTATTATGCCGAAGAAAATATACAATTACCCTAAGGCAATATTTTTGCTAAGGGGCGCCTTGCGAGGCTACATCTTGGCCAAAACTTATCCGATTCTTCAGCGGAATAGCTTAAACGATTTGTAGATCGATTTTCCACCAATCTACATCAAAATCTCAAAAATCTCTTTTTTTTTTCCATTTTTTGTCAAATTTTTTGGGGGTCCCCAGAATGCATTGAACGGCAATATGAGTCACTTGGAAAGCTGTATCTTGGCCAAAACTCAGCCGATTCTTCAGCGGAATAGCTTAAACGATTTTTAGATCGATTTTCCACCAATCTACATCAAAATCTGGAAACATAATTTTTTTTACATTTTTTGTCAAATTTTCTGGGGGTCCCCTTCAAAAATTCACGAAAATGCATTGAAGGGCAATATGAGTCACTTGGAAAGCTATATCTTGGCCAAAACTCATCCAATTCTTCAGCGGAATAGCTTAAACGATATTTAGATCGATTTTCCACCAATCTACATCAAAATCTCAAAACATAATTTTTTTTAGATTTTTTGTCAAATTTTCTGGGGGTCCCCTTCAAAAATTCACGAAAATGCATTGAACGGCAATATGAGTCACTTGGAAAGCTGTATCTTGGCCAAAACTCATCCGATTCTTCAGCGGAATAGCTTAAACGATTTGTAGATCGATTTTCCACCAACCTACATCAAAATCTGGGAACATAATATTTTTTAGATATTTTGTTAAATTTTCTGGGGGTCCCCTTCAAAAATTCACGAAAATGCATTGAAGGGCAATATGAGTCACTTGGAAAGCTGTATCTTGGCCAAAACTCATCCAATTCTTCAGCGGAATAGCTTAAACGATATTTAGATAGATTTTCCACCAATCTACATCAAAATCTCAAAACATAATTTTTTTTAGATTTTTGTCAAATTTTCTGGGGGTCCCCTTCAAAAATTCACGAAAATGCATTGAACGGCAATATGAGTCACTTGGAAAGCTGTATCTTGGCCAAAACTCATCCGATTCTTCAGCGGAATAGCTTAAACGATTTGTAGATCGATTTTCCACCAACCTACATCAAAATCTGGGAACATAATATTTTTTAGATATTTTGTCAAATTTTCTGGGGGTCCCCTTCAAAAATTCACGAAAATGCATTGAACGGCAATATGAGTCACTTGGAAAGCTGTATCTTGGCCAAAACTCATCCGATTCTTCAGCGGAATAGCTTAAACGATTTGTAGATCGATTTTCCACCAACCTACATCAAAATCTGGGAACATAATATTTTTTAGATATTTTGTCAAATTTTCTGGGGGTCCCCTTGGAAAGCTGTATCTTGGCCAAAACTCTTCCGATTCTTCAGCGGAATAGCTTAAACGATTTTTAGATCGATTTTCCACCAATCTACATCAAAATCTGGAAACATAATTTTTTTTACATTTTTTGTCAAATTTTCTGGGGGTCCCCTTCAAAAATTCACGAAAATGCATTGAAGGGCAATATGAGTCACTTGGAAAGCTGTATCTTGGCCAAAACTCATCCAATTCTTCAGCGGAATAGCTTAAACGATATTTAGATAGATTTTCCACCAATCTACATCAAAATCTCAAAACATAATTTTTTTTAGATTTTTTGTCAAATTTTCTGGGGGTCCCCTTCAAAAATTCACGAAAATGCATTGAACGGCAATATGAGTCACTTGGAAAGCTGTATCTTGGCCAAAACTCATCCGATTCTTCAGCGGAATAGCTTAAACGATTTGTAGATCGATTTTCCACCAACCTACATCAAAATCTGGGAACATAATATTTTTTAGATATTTTGTCAAATTTTCTGGGGGTCCCCTTCAAAAATTCACGAAAATGCATTGAAGGGCAATATGAGTCACTTGGAAAGCTATATCTTGGCCAAAACTCATCCGATTCTTCAGCGGAATAGCTTAAACGATTTGTGAATCGATTTTCCACCAATCTACATCGATATCTGGAAACATAATTTTTTTTAGAATTTTTGTCAAATTTTCTGGGGGTCCCCTTCAAAAATTCACGAAAATGCATTGAACGGCAATATGAGTCACTTGGAAAGCTGTATCTTGGCCAAAACTCTTCCGATTCTTCAGCGGAATAGCTTAAACGATTTTTAGATCGATTTTCCACCAATCTACATCAAAATCTGGAAACATAATTTTTTGTACATTTTTTGTCAAATTTTCTGGGGGTCCCCTTCAAAAATTCACGAAAATGCATTGAAGGGCAATATGAGTCACTTGGAAAGCTATATCTTGGCCAAAACTCATCCGATTCTTCAGAGGAATAGCTTAAACGATTTGTGAATCGATTTTCCACCAATCTACATCGATATCTGGAAACATCATTTTTTTTAGAATTTTTGTCAAATTTTCTGGGGGTCCCCTTCAAAAATTCACGAAAATGCATTGAACGGCAATATGAGTCACTTGGAAAGCTGTATCTTGGCCAAAACTCATCCGATTCTTCAGCGGAATAGCTTAAACGATTTTTAGATCGATTTTTCACCAATCTACATCAAAATCTTGAAACATAATTTTTTTTACATTTTTTGTCAAATTTTCTGGGGGTCCCCTTCAAAAATTCACGAAAATGCATTGAACGGCAATATGAGTCACTTGTAAAGCTGTATCTTGGCCAAAACTCATCCGATTCTTCAGCGGAATAGCTTAAACGATTTTTAGATCGATTTTTCACCAATCTACATCAAAATCTTGAAACATAATTTTTTTTACATTTTTTGTCAAATTTTCTGGGGGTCCCCTTCAAAAATTCACGAAAATGCATTGAACGGCAATATGAGTCACTTGGAAAGCTGTATCTTGGCCAAAACTCATCCGATTCTTCAGCGGAATAGCTTAAACGATTTGTGAATCGATTTTCCACCAATCTACATCGATATCTGGAAACATAATTTTTTTTAGAATTTTTGTCAAATTTTCTGGGGGTCCCCTTCAAAAATTCACGAAAATGCATTGAACGGCAATATGAGTCACTTGGAAAGCTGTATCTTGGCCAAAACTCATCCGATTCTTCAGGGGAATAGCTTAAACGATTTTTAGATCGATTTTCCACCAATCTACATCAAAATCTTGAAACATAATTTTTTTTACATTTTTTGTCAAATTTTCTGGGGGTCCCCTTCAAAAATTCACGAAAATGCATTGAAGGGCAATATGAGTCACTTGGAAAGCTGTATCTTGGCCAAAACTCATCCGATTCTTCAGCGGAATAGCTTAAACGATTTGTAGATCGATTTTCCACCAATTTACATCAAAATCTCAAAACAAAATTTTTTTTACATTTTTTGTCAAATTTTCTGGGGGTCCCCTTCAAAAATTCACGAAAATGCATTGAAGGGCAATATGAGTCACTTGGAAAGCTGTATCTTGGCCAAAACTCATCCGATTCTTCAGCGGAATAGCTTAAACGATTTGTAGATCGATTTTCCACCAACCTACATCAAAATCTGGGAACATAATATTTTTTAGATATTTTGTCAATTTTTCTGGGGGTCCCCTTCAAAAATTCACGAAAATCCATTGAAGGGCAATCCGCCAAAATCTTATTTTGTATTTACAGCAAAATCTGAGAACATAATTTTTTTTTAGATTTTTTTGTTTGATTTTCTGAGTTGTCCCCCTGGTGAAACAAATTAGTGAGTCTTTTTTCAAATGACTTTATCTTGGAAACGCAAATTTTATATAAATATTACGACGATGACTAAGTGTCAGAAGTAAATGCAGAATTTGTTGTTTACTTCTTAAGATCAATAGAAAAAAATTCCATAGACAATAAAAAAATTCCAAATTACGTTAAGCAAATGTATAATTTGCCTTCGCTAGGGTGACAATATTCAAACTTAATCCATTGTCATCATTAACCAATTGAAATACGATTTACTTTGGATTTGCAAACTGTTTTTATTTGTAAATTTATTTTCTTTTATTTGTCCCGCCGTTTTGTTAGACGCAGAGCATATTTTGTTGTGGTTGTCGTTTATAAGTAAATTTGTGTGTGACTAACTTATGTCGTACCGTGCTAAGCTGCTAAATACCTAAACCTACACAAATGGAGTTATCGAAAATGAGTGGATGTGGGTGTATGTTTTTTTGTGTGTGTATGTGAGTGTATCTGTGTGTGAGTGTTAACCTTTGCGGTGCAAGTGTCTTGTACAGATAATGATAGAATAGGGTTTAATTTAAAAACGATTATCGACTATGTCCCGCCCTCGCTCTCTGAATAGATACAGACACATAGATGCAAGTTTAAGTGATGATCCTTCCCATCTGTGATCCGCGAGCCCATATCTCTCCCTCTAACTCCGATCCTTGATCTGTGATCTCTGATCCTTAGGTGCAGATCATCTTCTTGGTTTTCTTCATCCGCTCGCCCTCGTTCTCGTTCTCATCCAGCTTGGCGCTCTCTGTGCTGCTCGACTCCGCATCGTACTCCAGCTCCGGATCGGGCACCTCGGCATAGTGAACATTTCCCACCATCTGGCTAGCTCCAACCGCAGCATAATCCTTTTCAGAGTCCAAGCCAAGTGAAGCATGGCTACCATCTCCATACTTCTCCAGAATGCGACGCACCAGATCCTTGGAGGGCTGCTTCATGTTCCAGGCCCATCCCAGCTTGTGGAAACCGTCCAGCACCATGGTGGTAAAGTTGACTTTGTAGTTGCCGAGCTCAGCTGCTTTGTAGTCCCAGGGGAAGACATGGTGGTAGTTGTGCCAGCCCTCACCCATGGAGATCACAGATACAAAGATGTTTTCGCTGGGCATGATACGCCTAGAAAAACATGAAAATAGGTTAGCAATATGTGAAAAAAAGAATAATATAAAATAAACACTTTTTATTGGTCAAGGTATTTAAATCAATAAAAATTTTCTTAATTTTTTTGTATAATTCGCTTGCTTTTGATTATTTTGAACCATTTATTTTATTTATAAATGTAGGTGACAAAACGTGGACAATATTTTTGTAATGCGCGGTCATCAATCTTGCAATTTAAAAATAAATATGCATGACCCATTTCAATATAGCCGATGAATCTTTGTAAAATCTATGTAACTTCGAGAAATACTTACTTATCGTAAGGACGGGATCCCCAGAGATGGGCGGCACTGTTCACGGACCAGGTGAAGTTCAGGCTGCTAACGTAACGGAAGAGGCACTGCTGGGCAAAGGCCAGGGACCAGGCCTCGCCAAAGCAGTAGACAGGAATAACCGTCGGAAGGATGAAGCAGAATACAAGCTTGAGGGCATAGAAGTACTTCTGGTGGAATTGGACGACGGGATCCTCCAGAATATCAGACATGTCGATCTGACGACCGCGGCGGAGAACTTCCGGGTGCTTGAGCATCATCAGCCAGCCCACGTGGGAGAAAAAGAATCCGCGGTTGGCATTATGCGGATCGGCATCCGTCTCTGAGTATTTGTGGTGGACCCGATGGTCACGAACCCAGTCGTAAAGGGTATTCTGAATATGAGTTAACAAATAGTTAAGATTAATGGGGAGCTGTAGATCTTATCCCGGCAAAAAATATTACTTAAATTGTAGTGTGAAGGTTAATTGCTATTAAGTTGAAAATAGGGGACAGCAACTATTATTATTCCAGTTTAAAATTTGTCAATTTTTTAAGTGTTTGTAAAGCAATATATATCTAAGCATATTCTGTGGGTCAATGGGGTTCATTTAACACGCCATCAAATTTTATTGTTCATCTTAATGTACAGGTCGCTCGGATATATCTTTTTCCAGTCTCCAGCTAAGCTTCTGCGGCTGCGGCTTTGGCTGTGACTGTGACTGCTGGCTGCGCTTAATCGCTGCAGTCATTAAATAAGACAAATGTATCTTCGAGATACACAAAGCACTTTTAGCCAGTCTCCGCTGCTGCTTTGGCTGCTACTGCGGCAGAGCCAAGTAGTTGGAATTGTCAATTTTACAGTTTTTCCGTCGCAACAGGCATTAAGTTGTTATACTTAATGATGCAATTAATGTTAATTGCATTACAGCCCCGAAAAAAAAAATAACAAAGGTGTCGCGTCAAATGAATTGGCAAATTGCGAGACAAGTCTTCAGGTGGCGTTACGTCTGTCAGAGGTCACCATGTCCTCCTCATCTTTATAATTATTCCAAACTCACCTGTCCGGCGACACAGTAGCTGATCATCAGGAGGCTTCGAAGTATCCCATTGGCCTTGTAGCTGCGATGGGTCCAAAATCTGTGGGCTCCGGCGGTAACTCCGAAGCCGGCCACGCCACCAACAAAGAACGCTGCAAGATACACAGAAAGAAACAAAGATATCTGTTAGTTTGGAGCAATAAAAGATTCAGATTTAGATTCCGTTTCGGACAAAAGGCGTGCTAATTGAATACGAAAAGAAAAACCCGAAATTACATTTCCGCAAATTGAGCTATTTGAGGCTAGGTGTTAATTCTGCCGACAAACAAATGGAGTATAAAAGTCGAGGTATACCGAGATCGCCGCAAGGTCGGACGGTGGCGGGAAGTACTGCCCAATTTGAACCTAGAAGAGGCTCCGATGGTGAATGACATATCACGATTCAAACAATCATCATCCGCATGCGGTATGTTACAGGCGAAATTCCTCTCCAGACACACTCTTCCATTAGTTCCTCAATTAGAATATGCAAAGTGCCATTGTCACCCTCTCGACGAATTGGATAATGACTATGTGCGCAATTAGAGGTAATGATTCCAGTATCATTTATCCTAAAAGGGGTTTTCCGTAGCATCTAACGATCCACGATTCCAATTCATCGAAGGGGAACCCGAATATACTAGATAGTTACTATTAGATGTGTCTATGCTCACGCCTCGCACATTTCGGCATCGAACTAATGAACTATTAACGATTTCTCTGAATGGGAATTTCATCGATCGGTCGATTGATTGGGGAAAAGATTAACCTTCGCGGCGTTGCGACAGAAACCAGTTTTATTTCAAAAAAAAAAACGGAAAACAATTAAACCATAGAGTGCGGAAATATCAAAACTCAATGTCCAATAGGCTGAACCCACAAATGGGACAAAGAGGTTAGACGCTCTAAATTATTTCTTCCAGGTACATATATGTTTAGGTAAATTGCAACCCGTCAGGAGTCATAAATATGCATGTATATATATATTTGCTTAACCTTGAAAATGTCATATGTATATCTTTTGATCGATTGCTTTGGTAATTTCTTTGGAACAAAGCGCATTTGCTATTTGGACCATTTGCATTTCAAATAAAACGCAACTTGGGGTCAATGCAAGGGTCAAGTTCAAGCTTTTTCACAGTCCATCTGCCGGAATTGCTTAGCTAAACTGTATTACCATTTTCACGAGACTAGCTCCTACAAGTACGAAAAATGAAAACCAAACTCTGTCCCTGAAGGGCACGGTGCGTTGACTCGCCTTTATATAAATATTAGTTTTTTGCCCAGCTTCATTAGCGCCCAATGTTATGTAATTCCCACAGCTTTATGCTTGCCCGGATTCCCCTTCGTTTCCACCTGACCGATCTTAATCAACACGACAATTTTCGCCATCTCCGAAACCGGCAAAAGATGATAATTCCCAGCATGGCGGTTAACATCTCGAGGCGCTGCACGTTCGACCGGCAATTTGCCAAAATATTTACGAGCTCGACGCCCCAAATAGGGACATCGTTCGGGCAAGGATACTCCTGGCATTTTAATGTTAATTTTTTTTCCTGTACTTTTTTCCTGCTGTCTGGCCCGCACAATGCGTAATAAATATTAAAAATTGCTAGGTATTAAGGCATTTTTCGCTGTACAGCCATTAAGAGGGAAGTACCTTGTATGCTCGGGTAATTCCAATGAAAACGAAATCGGCTGTGGAGGATCCCTCCTCCATGGGTTGCCCCCTTGAAATCGTCTCAATGTCAACTGATTTTTTGCCCCGCCATGTCTCTTCGCATGTCTGGTGCTCATAAACCGAGTCAGTTTGTTTTTAGCCGCCAAGATAAATCATCTTTGACTTTGGAGTCGAAAAATGTTATGGTGAGTATTGGATGAAAATCCCAGAAATTTCTGGTTGAACCTTGGTAACATAAGCTCGCAAGAAGCTCCAAATTTAAATTTTGAATTTGTGTCAAGCGATTCTTTCTCTCTGTCACTCCCCTTGGCATATTTGGCTAAGTACGTTTTGGTTTTTTTTTCCACAATCCACCTGTGTCAGTCAATTTTTGTGCTGAGACTGAAATTGCATGCCAACCGAAAACAGAAAATACAAAACCCAAACCCAAACTCGAAGCTGAACCCAATGAAATGAAAGAGATTTCAACACATGCCGTATAACCAAAAAAAAAAATTAAGCTGAAGGGCAGAGGCGGAGCTAGAGGCTAAAAAGGGGGTGGGGCAGCAACAGCATGTTAAGCAGCAATCAATTAAAGGCAATAACAAGAGGAACGCATTTTGCAATGGCCGGGGGGGCCGCAAAGAAAACGCCAGAGGGGCTTAAGGCACAGGGCGCGCTAAATTGCAAATAATTGGTGGGGAAACAAATTTCGGAAGAGGGCGACGATGCCGTAAAGAAAACATCATCAGCGACACCATCCATACATCATACGCCGGAAAAAAAAACATAACTAAAATAGACAGAGTTTTATTTAAAAACAAAAATAACCAAAAATGATCATAAAAAGTATTTTAATATGTGACAAAATGGAAAAATGAATGAATTTCAAAAACCATATGCCCATGTCCCTATACCCTATTAGCCCATCTTTACAAAAACCTCTACATGACCCATACTTTTTTTCTCTGTGTACAGCATCGATCAGAGATGACTCTTTGTTTCCACACCTTTCCCCAACCACCATTTCCAAATCCGAGGCGATAGAAAGAGAGAGTGGGGCAGCGGAGGTTATGCAACGCCGGATGGGATGAATGGATTGGATGGCATATGGACGTTGGCCCTCGACTGAGCCAGATACTTACCCCAGACAACACTGTACCAGTTGAGCCTGTGGAGCGGATAGGTTAACAGGACGCCGACAGCCACCAGGTGGAGGAGCGAGATCTGGATGACTTTGTCCCACTTTAGGGGGGCATTGAACTGCCAGCCGAGCACATTGTCACCCACAAAGGTGCGCTTGTACTCCTCGAGGTTGATTTGGTCCTTGGGCACGTGATTAACGATCGACTGGGGGACGACCTTTTTGGGAGTTTCGTCCTTCTGAGGAAGGGAGAGCTTGCCGCGCGGCGGAAGCTCCGGGGAGGAGTCCTCGCCCCGCCGAACTTGCTGCTGGGCATCACCGTTGGCCAGTTTGGCCCTTCTGGCCAAAAGCGGCGGAGGACTAGCGTCGCCTGGAGTCGGCGTCTTGCTGCACACGCGTTCCGAAGTGGAAAGATGACCCATTTTGCTTGAAAAGATCTTTCGCTTTTGGTTATTTACTTTTCTCGTTTTTATTTTTTTTTTTGGGTTTTTGATGGCTTTGCCGGCGGAAACCGCGTTTCGTAACTTCACTTTCTTCACAACTTAACGCACACAAAGCACTACCACTCAACGGGCTTAATTGCAGCCGGGGAGTACTTGGTAAAATCGGACTTGGTGGCGGAGATTGCTTTCTTTTTAAGGCACCTTAACTCCAGCCCTTTGGGGTTCGTGGTGGTGTTCGGTCCTCTTGCGGTTTCCGCGTCTAACGAACTTATCGCGGCGCCGTCCCGTAGACAAATGATCGTAGCCAAAAGTATAAATTCCTACCTATGGCTTTTTGGCGGCTCACCTGGGCAGAGCTGCCGGCGGCTGCGTCGACAGCGACGTCGGCTGCAGCGGCTGACTGATTGACCGACTGACTGACGGAGTTTCCGTTGCTGGGCTGCCGACGCACAAAGGCAAAGAAAAGAAATGGAGAGACGGACAAGAAGGCCAAGATTATGCCACCATACACGTATGTACGTACGTATGTACATGTGCACAGGTACGTCCCAACACCTGTACTTCGCTTTGGCTTCGGCTTCGCTTCAAGCTTCGGGCCAAACTTCGTCTTGAGACATCGGCATTCGACTTCGGCCGCAGAATTGGCGGCAGAGCAGTCGGCAGACTGCTACCTCGAATTTACGCGAAATGTGTGGGGCTTTGGGTGTCATGCCTCAGTGGGTCAAGCTGGGCTTCTTCGGGAAACTCTAGACTTCAGAGACGTAAAGTTTAAGACATTTTAGAGGGGAATGGCTTTTGGTAATTACTATGCAGTCAAAAACCGTTTGGGAAAAGAAGTATTTGGATGACAAAAGTCAGTACTTATTATTATTAAAAGATTTAGACTTTTGCCCTTTGTAAAATTCAAACGATGTTTTGTGACCTTTTCTTTTTGTTTAGACATAAGCTTTAAAAGATCAAAATAAGCCTCTAAGGTAATAACAACGTTGACAAAATGGAGTTTTTTTTAAAAAGTGCTTAAAATCTATCTTAAAATCTTTATAAACTATCTTTGACTTTGAAAAAGAGTCATAAAGATAAATAAGGATTATCTCAAATTTATTGAACATATAGTATTAAGCTTTTTAACAAAACCTTTTCCCAAATAAATGTGTCAATATTTATTTTAATTGTTTGTTTAAAATAGGAAAAACTTTATACAAAATGGATTTTTTATTGACTTAACACAGTACCAAAAAGTTCAGACCCTAATATAATTTTAAATCAGGAGACTTCAACTGCCATTGATTCGACCGACAAGAAGTCTGCGGGTATACCTATAGATTACTCACGAATTTAGCCATACGATTATCGACTGAAAGATTTTGAAGAATAAATACTACTTAAAATGAGAAACCTTATAAAATTTCCTTCTTAAGCCTCTGTTGTCAAGGGTCTTTAAATATTATCCCCGTTATATTCTCCATTTATTTGAGGGTTATTTAAATGAGACCTGATTTTGGACCTTTCGCAAGCGATTTCTATTTTCGGTGGATTCTGCGATTCTGCTCCATCCATTTGCATACGACAATCTCTCCTTTTGCAAGCTGAGATATTTCGTTTTTTTCTAACAATCCCAGTCAGTCATCATAACTAAACTGGGCTCTTCCACTCATCTGTGGTATAATGTGCCGGCGGTGTGTATGGGTGAGGTGTTGACCAAAGTCAAAAGCCGTTCGATGATCATGAGGTTCCTCCAGCAAAAACAGCAGCAGCAAAAGCAGAAGACTAAAGACCGAAGACCGAAGACCGGAGACGAGAGTGGCTTTCTCTTTACGTAACTGCGGCGACAGAAACAGAAACCGAACTTAATTAAAATCCAAAAGCAAAAGCAGCGGACCCGCGGCGAAATAAAACCAAAGTCAAACAGCCAAAGGAAGCTCTGACCGATCGTAAAGTGGGTTTTACAACCCTAAAACTGAAACCCATGGGTCAACAAAATTTGCAGACGTTCACAGTGTCACGCGACCGATCCCTTTGATCGCGACCCACTGTAGAGTATGGTGTTGTGTATCTGCAAGATGCGGTGTTGATGAGGTGCTGATGTTGTAAGCCCTGACCATTAGCCAATTATGCAAAGATTTGAAATTGTGCGGAGACCTAAAGACTTGGCCCGGGGGTATGCTTTGGCTTTCTGCTTCTGCTTTCTGCTTTGTTTATAAACAAACAGCCAACTCAAAATTATTGGAAACCACTCTGATGTATTGCGCAGCTTCTCTTTTCGCACTGTCAGCGTTTTATATGAGTTCTGGCCGAAAAAGTACCTCCAAACAAAGGCAGCCTCTCTTATTGTTTTGTACTTAAGTCTGTTTACCTATACGAACATATGAGGTTTTATTTTTTTGGCCTAATCGCTTCCCGTTCCAGTGTTCTTGGCCAGCCACACGCTCAAACGACTGCCATTCATGCGCAGGAGACTTCAATTCGCCACCGATTAGGCCGTGAATTGTTAAATTTTCAAGCTCCATTGAATAGGGCTGACCTCTCAGCATCCACTCACACAACCACTTGACCACCTGACCCAATCGAACCCACAGTTTCGAGTTTTAGGCGCTAGGTAGTGACTCGTATTAGACAATCTGGTGGCTGGGGCATTGCATAAGCATTTTGCGTACTCCACGTATTTGTGCAACCTTCAACTGTCGCCGAGTCGGTTTATGGAAAACAAATTAACACTAAACAAAGAGCAGAACGCGACGCGACTGCAATTTGCCACAGAGCGGGACGGATCTCGGATTTGCCACAGCTTAAAATTTTTCAAAGTAACGAGGAATACACTGAGAAAGTTTCCATAGCGGTATCTATGGTATCACAACCATTAAAAACTTCCTTCTACAAACTAAAAAACCAAAAAATCGCTTTGAAAATTCCCCTCATAAAAGCCATAAATCTATTAAATATAATTTAATATACTTTTCCTTATAAAATATTTCAAGTGTGGCTACTTTTAGCTGGCAAATTCATTAGTAATCACTTCACCACGGAGTCATTAGGAATTGGTACAAGTGGCTGGCTCGAATGTGAGTCAGTGGAGTTGAGTCGAGCCGCGTCGAGTTGAGTGCGGAATGTTCACACCCTGAAAATTTATGAATATGTACGTGCGAAAGGGGGAGGACCACAACTATTAGAACGGCCGGCCTGCTAGTCAAGTCTAGTGGCTCTTTAGCATCGATCGATGTGATCCAGCTGAGGCGCACAGTTTGCCCAAACCAAGTTTAATGAGCAAACTTGAGGATGGCAAAAAGGCTTCTGGGCAGACCCAACTGAGTGCGGAGTCAATATTGACGGATCAATCAGCCACTGAGCACACACATTGCGTATGAGTAATAAAATCATTAGGCGCAACCCATAAAGCCGGCGTGGAGCACCTGATGCTCCTCCCGATTCGTCCGATCCGCTTCGATCCCGTCCGAACCGAGCATGGGAAAGCAAACGCACCTATTGCCAAACGAATTGGCATCTGTAAACAGACGAAAGAGAAATAAAAATAGACGAACTTGAATTGGAAATTGAATCCGTGGGCTACACAGAAAGAAATGAAGATATTCGAGTTACAATAAGTGGTTCATACCATTAAAGAGTTAACCAATTTTTAAAACTATTTGGAATATATTTTTAATTTTGAAAAACGATTTCTAGAAATTGTTATTTGTTTTTGTAGGAATCATACTTTTGTATAATTAGGTTGAACTGTGATTTGTGAACTTGTCGGTTTACTCTTGGGCAACAAGTGCATCCGCCCAGCCACGCCCACCTGCTGCCAGGCAGACACCTCCGCGCCTGCATACTTCCATTTCCAGTTCCATGTCATGCCCACGAAACTGCACCTATGTTTACTATGTTTTTTTATGCTGACCAATAATTAGGTTCAGTGTTTGCTCTCCCCCTCCCGCTTCCCTCTCGGTTGGCGGTAAATTTTATTTTTACGACTGCGACGACCATTTGTCTCATCATTTTGTTAGCCCAGATGATGCAACCCGTTCACATAAACTTCTCCCGGTTGAGGAAGTGGTTGGCGGGCAGGGCATTCTCTTCAAGATTCACTTCCTCCTCGATGCACTCGACAATGGGCCGACCGGTCTCCACCGCCTTCGTGAGTCCTTGTCGCACGGCCACTGACCCATAGGTCTTCAGATCCTTGGCCCAGTCGAGAGCGGCAAAAACACGAATCATGGCTGAACCGATTCCAGTGGCATAGTCCCCAAACTCCCCACTTTGATAGTCTCTGGGCAGGAGATAGTGAAACTGGGGCCAATAGCTTTTGGTGATCAAGAAGATGCTGTTGGAGTCCGCAGCCTTGAAGCCCTTATGAAGGCTCCAAATGAAGTGCGACGAGTTCACCAGGTTTCCCACATTAATGACAATCAGACTGCGCAGCCAAAAGCCCACGAACATGGATGCGGTTAGGGAATCTCCAAAATATTGGAATGGAGTATTCACCGAAAGGAGGATGTTAACAAAGATGTACAGCAAAACGTAGAATCTGTAAAGAAAATAAAATAAATTATAGAGGAAGGTTATAAAAAAAAGAATGTACCGAAAACCAACCTCTTTTGAAACATAACAATGGGATCACTCTCCAGATCTGACATATCCACCTCTTTGAGCAACTCCTCCTGCTGGGGGGAGTACCTCAGTAGACCCCCACGCACCTGAGCGTACATAAAGCTGTGTTTACTGTAGTACGGATCTTCATCTTGCTGGAACTTGGCGTGGTGCAAGCGATGGGCCTGAACCACACTGTATATGGAGCCCTGAAAATTGTTGGTTTAAGTCTCGACTAATATTTAAGTTGGAGCTTTTAACAGAGGCGTAGATGGTAAACTCTTTTGGGGGAAAGATTAACTCACTTGGCCCGCGGTTGTCTGACAGAGCATGAGAAAAAGGTTCAAGGGTTTTGAGGCAGTGAAGGTCCTGTGCGCCCACAGGCGGTGAACACCTACAGTCACACCCAAGATTCCAAAGAGCGTTAGGACACTTGCTGAAAATGTGAAAATTAACATTTAGAAAGAGGGCAAAAGTTAACCCATTAGCAAAACACTAAACACTAATTAACCCTTGATACTTACTGAATAAAATCGTGGGCCACGTGGCACTGGTGAACAGAACGTAGATCCCATATACACCGAGGATATTTAAATGGATATAGAATAGAACCAGTGGCCAGATGGCATCGCGCTTCTTATGAATAGAATCGCCATCCTGGACTGTAGTTTTCTGCTCTGTTTTCTCCATAATATTCCAATATCCTGATATACACAACCGATCCGTCTTCAGTGGGCGCACTTACTATACTGAATGCCCTTTCTTACAATAAAACCCTTTGAAGCGAAAAGCTGGACTATTCATGAGCCCAGAGGTGCATATTTATGAGCCCACTAAGGAAATACAAAGTAATGCTAATGTTTAATACAAAAAACAGAGTTTATTGACCCGAGGGTAAGTAACGAAAGCAACATTGGGAGACTAGCGTCCCTACAATACTCAGATCCTAGCGATCCGCGTTGGGATGAGGATGGCTTTTTGGTATAAGATGGTACAAAAAAATGGGTTTTGATTGTTATGGGATTCATATTAATCACGGATTGGCGAAAGGTGCATTTAGATACTTAATTCTATGAAAACCACAGGCTAAAATGATAATACATGGCCGATGTCCGATTAGTTTTGCATCTTGGCCAGCTCCTGGAGGTCCTCGCGAGGAATATCCTTGTCCCCGAAGCCCCACACTTGATCCTTGTGGGCATGGTCATCATCCAGGAAACGAGTGCCATCTCCGCACTTTGCCGCCCGCCGGATGACCATGTCAGGAGATACTGATTTTCCTGGAGGGCACGAAATATGGTTAGTACGAAATTGGTAAGTAGTCTTTGCCATAAACTCACTTCCTTTGGCCAGGCCCAGCCAGGCGCAAAAGTCAATGAAACCGGTGGTAATGTTGAGGCTGTAATTGCCAAACTCGCCCGTCTTGTAGTCCCAGGGGAAAACATGGTGGTAATTATGCCATCCTTCTCCCATGGCCAGCAAGGAGACAATAGGAGCCTCTACAGACATAATGTTCCTGGAAAGAATAAATAGGAAAATTTTAGTAAAAGTATAGTAAAAGTTTTATTTGAAAAATCATCAGAAAGTTTATCTTTCTTGATACGAAAATACGAGCAATAAACAAAACTAAAATATTTAAAAGCTGTATACTAGTAATTAGAAAACACATAAATAGTTATAGAAATGGGCCATTATTAATGGCCATAAATCATATTTTCATTATAAACAAGAAAGGAAAGCTAACTTCGGGCGGAGCCGAAGTTTATATACCCTTGCAGTTAAAACCGGATATATATCGCAAACATCGGATATAGTTGGCCGATCCTTATGGGAATAGGAATATATATTCCAATTTATTACAATACAAAATCTTAAAAAAGTCCCAAACTTCTATCTTCAAAAATACGAAAGTTGATATTTCTACCAAATACCATTTCCGATCGTTCAGTTATATGGCAGCTATGGGATATAGTCGGCCGATCCTAATGAAATTTGGTAGGTTGGATTAACTAACCAAAAATAGAGTCTGTACTAAATTCCAGCTTTCTATCTTCAAATACACGAAAGTTGGGTCATTTCCGATCAATCAGTTATATGGCAGCTATAGGATATAGTCGGCCGATCCGGGCCGTTCCGACTTATATACTGCGTGCAAAGGAAAGAAGGGTGTGTGCAAAGTTTCAAGACGATAGCATCAAAACTGAGAGACTAGTTCGCGTAGAAACAGACATACAGACGGACAGACGGACATGCTCATATCAACTCAGGAGGTGATCCTGATCAAGAATATATATACTTTATAGGGTCGGAGATGTCTCCTTCACTGCGTTGCACACTTTTGGACAAAATTATAATACCCTCTGCAAGGGTATAAATATAGCTACCAACTTAGAAGACTAGAATTTTTAAACTATATATTTAAACACGCTTTTTGTGGCTATAATTTGAAAAAAAAACTAAAAATTATTAGCCATAAATCTAGTAATGCAGTCGGCTGAAAGACAAGTGTATAAATAGACAATGTTGTACTATTTTTTTTATATACAAATTCTACTTTTATATTACAAAGCTTTTAGGAATAATACAAAAAGTCTGTAACGCCTTTAAAGTAGAAAAACCCAAACCAATTTAAATATAAGCACTCCTTTCTTTCTTCTACTGACGAAAATACCTGCGTAATTCAATAGTTTTTATGGAACAAATTCTGCAGTTTATCGATCGATTCAATAATATTACTGGCACCCCTTAGAATCGAACCATTATTTAAAATGAGATAACTTACTTGTCATAGGGTTTGTTGCCGTACATATGAGCAACACTATTCACGAAGAAGGCCACATTGAGGGTCCAGGTGAAACGCATGTTAAAGTTAATCCAGAAGGACATCCACAAGTCCTCGTTCCAGAAGTACCATGGCACAGCCACTGGCAGAATGATGGAACAAAGGGCGAAGAGCGGGATGTAGTACTTTCGCTGGAACATGCACACTGCATCCGCCTCCAAGTCGGACATGTCAATGACCTTTCGCTTGGCGATGACCTTGGGATGGGGGGTTAGGAACAGCCAGCCTACGTGGGCGAAAAAGAAGCCTCGTTTTGCATTATGCGGATCGGCGTCCGTCTCGGAGAATTTGTGATGTATCCTGTGATCCAAAGCCCATGTATAAGCATCCCTCTGTAAATTATACAATTTTTAAATAATATAATATATACTAGGAATGTGTAGATGGTGCACTGACCTGACCCGCAATGGAAAAAGCAAAAGCCAGCAGAATACGTAATGGCAACGAGGCTGTGTAGGATTTGTGAGACCAAAGCCTGTGGGCTCCCGCCGTGATTCCGATACCCGAGACCCATACGGTGACGACCACTGAAATATAAACAAGAACAGTCAGTTGTCATTGTATAAACAATCCAAACTATATATACAATCAGCATATATACACGCCCATCTGAACAGCTTGGTCTGGTGACGCTTCTCGCTTGAATTGGCCGCCATATGATACAATGCTCCGGTACTAAATATATCTAAATTCCCCCTTCTTTGGGGTGGCCTATTTTTTGTCGCCACCTCTCATTCGAAAATCAGTCTTTTTTTTCACCCGGTTCGATCACCATTTGAATTGGACCGGGCAAGACAATTGAAGCGTTCGTTAACTTTAATTATGCCGGTCAAAGTTCATCATCATCAACATATGCAGATAGACTATTTTGTTTTTATGGTTTACCTATTATACACTATTAAGTTTGATGGTTTATCAACCATTTTATTAGTCACTTATATGATAAATGAAAATAGATAGTTAAATTTAATAGATGGCATTAAATATACGTGCTTTAATTTTGATATGATTAGTTCTCTTTTATATGACCATCTCCCTATAGAATACAATAATTACCTCACCGATTTGTCATTTTATTAGCTAATATCAGCTGGCCCAGTTTAGAGAAGCCGGTGTTGTTTACAAAATATTTAATGCCCCAGTATCTAAGCGCAATGTTTGCATGTTGGTCGATGCAATTATTGCTATTGGATGAGCGGGAACTTTGTTGCTGCATAGATGTTAATTACACCTGGGAACAGTGGACACTCACCCCAGAGGAATGTGTAGAAGTTGGCGTAGAAGAGCTGATAGAGGCCATACAGAGCACCGACGTGCAAAAAGGTCTGGGCCCCTAAATCCGGCCATCTGATCTGAGGGTGATACTCCTCCTCCTCCTCAGCCTGCTCCGTCTCCTTTAGCTTCAGATCCTGTTGGCTGTCCAGAGCTGGGGTTTCCTTGTACACGGCATTCTCCTCCTTGTAGCCCAGGTTATCGTCATCGGAGTCTTTGGTGTGGGCTTTGCCTCTGTGCTTCAGTTCGCCATTTTGGTTGGGAGCAGTGACAGTTGCGGTACGGTTTCCGTTGCTGTCCAGGCCACACGATCCGTTGCACTGGCCAACAGCTGGAGTCTGGCTCTGGCCGGTAACCGGAGATGAAAGGCACATGGTAGGGTGTGTGGATCAACTGAAAATGCACGTTCAAAATATGCGTGTTAAACATCTTTCATTTCAGGTTTCCTCCCATATTAAAGCCGGTTCTGATTTTCTCCGAATTTTAGAAAGTTTACACCCATTTTCTTTTGATCAGCTTACTCGGTTTTGAATAATTAAGTTTTGTCATATTGAAATGAAATTGACATTTAAAAGAGTAACCCTTGAATTTTAATTTTTATTCCATTCTTTTTCTTAACCTCTAAAGTCTATAGTGCGTATGAGTGATTTCTTACTGTATATTACTCATACGCAGTGTGGGGTTTCTTGAGTAACAAATTTTTCCCATACTATTAAGATATTATTATTTTGATTAATATATTCCTATAAGTATTGTTTGCTCATGCAAGAACACAATTTTTTTTAAAGAAATCCAAAGAAAAATTTAAGATATCCTTTTAAGAAATTCTCCACTTTACAAAAGAGATTTACGTATTACGTATTATTTACATAGATGTTTGATAATTTTTTTTTATCTACTTATTTAAGTGAATTTGAAACCATAGTAGCATAACTTATTTATTTCTCTTTAAAAAATCAGTATCATAAAAAAGATTCGTAATACCCTGAGACTGTGAATGCTTTCATTATCTAAATATTTGCAAAACTAGTTACTAACTTCACAAATAACAACCCCAGACCAGAACTTTTCTCTCTGTGCAATCAAACCAAATCCGCAGATACTTGCTAATTAAAGTTTAGGACGGTTATAACCGAGCACTATTAGCAGGCCTTTTCTGAGAGTTTCGACTGTAATTGGTGTGAAATCTGTTGCCAGCCTCACGTGCCACGCCTCACGAATACCAGGCAGAGACAGTATAGGGTTTGCTCTGGACATTAACAACATGGATCGTTTGTTTGTGGTCTCGGATCGAAGCTCGCTGACATTCAGGGCCCTTTTAATGACTGTCCCAATAGTGTTATCGCGGCTTATCGCCTGACAAGAGCCGTATTGCAATCACCGATCTGCAAGTTCACTACTATCTGGCCGAAAACAAACAGAACTACACTATATCATAAGGCTAATAAATGCCAAACAATAATGATTCACTCAGGTGAATGGTGTACGCACGGCCATGCAGGTGGCCCAAAATTCGTAGTAATTTCAGGTTGGACAGTGTTACATCCGAGTGTTAAAGTGGACGATTTCGCTATGTCATCGGTACTTTTCGAATAGCTGGGATTTCGACGAATTCTAATCTCAGGGCCCCAATTGCCACACGGTTTGCTTATCTCAAGCACCTCCAAAAAATAGGCAAACAAAAAGCATGCGGATAGAAGTGGCTGTGTTGTTCGGACCATAATATACCTGTTGTTAGCATTTATGGTTTGTTTTATGAGGCTATTTTTGGTTAAATAAATAAGACTCTATTAGAGCTGACATTTTTAGGAAATAATAAGCCCTTTTCTTATAATTGTATCTTTAAATAAAAAAGTAAACCTAATCAGTAAAAAAAACCTTTATACTCCCCTCAATATATCTCTAATCTGATACGATCTAAATTACTAAACACCTGCATATTTATTAGCTTTGGCAGCCGCGAAGAGCAAGCAAAGTGTTTGTTTTTGATTTGTTGCCTTTATACCTCTCATAAAAGCAATGTACCTTTGGACCATACGGGTACAGGGTATAAACGACGCCCACGAAGAACATTTCCTATTTTCGAACGAGAAATACAGAACCGATCCGTTCCGTGGGGCTGTGCGTGAGCGGCCGACCGGCTTGTTTGCTGATAAGCAATGCACACCTGGCGCACCTGGCCCATATTTTCCGGCAATCTCCAGCTCCTACACCCCTTCTCTTCCAGCCACTTAATTCATTCAAAATTTTCAAATTAAAATCGTTGATAAGAAATATCGATAATTGCAAATGCTCCATTTGCGATTATTGCCCGGGTGATTCATTTAATGTCTGACCCCTCCATGTGCTCCAGGTGTTCCAAGTCTTATGAGTAATTGGGGTGTCTAAGAATTGCACCCCTTACGTAAGTCCGTCATGCCTGGAGATAAGATTGGAGCATTGGAGCGCCCTGGTATCGGGCAATTTACATATTGATAAAAGAAATGAACAGACTGGGAGGGTGTCTTCCCCAGCACAGTGGGGATACAAACACGCCCCGTTTTGCATTCGCTATTTTAATTAGAAAATGTAGCCACGCACGCTAATTTGATAAGTGGGGGAGTTATCAGCGGGGATGGGGCGGAAATTATACCTGGAAGAAGGGAACTTATTCGGACTCGGACTTGATGAACGCTGTCACAGGAATTGATCAACATTTTCATTGGGCCCGGGCACGCGACACAAGCATGCATAAATTAAATTCAACACACACACTATATATACATTTGCCTAATTTCGATTTTCGGCAACTTGGCAACGCATTGCAGCCGGCGAAGAACCAAACAATCTAATTCGGCCAATAATAAATAATAATAAACAATAAGGAACTCTGCAATACCACCGCCTGCCCTCGCTACCCATGTTTGCTCACTATTTTATTGGCATTCGCCTCGCTCTGGAGTGTTTTTTTATGTGTATATATTTTTTTTTCCACTCAGCGATAAAGCTGACCGCCCATCGAGAAGTTCTGGGCATGTTCCCGTATTCCCGTTGCCTCACTTTTAGACATGGCTAATTGCCTGATGTCGCGCACGTCGACTATCGCTACTATTTTCCTATATCGTCACTCCCAGAGCGACATTTTTGATGCCGAAATTCCGAATTTTATTGAAAATTTTCCATGCTCGATCAGAATCGAAAGCTTTTATCTTGCCGGGAGAAAAAACCTCGACAATTTCCCAGCACTACAATCTAATAAAGAGTGAAATAGAATATATCAAATACCACTTGTTGCCCGGCTGCCACCTTTAATTAGAGCTTTTAATAGTTGGCGGGTAATTGAAGGCACTTGCTATCTGAAGATAATTAACCAAGATCGCTGGAAGGCTGTAGAAGAGTACACCGAGGGAAATTTTAAGTTTTTGGGCGTTAAAATGGGTATAAGGTGACCCTAAGGAATAAACATTTTTTTATCAAAACAACAAATTTCTTATGAATTATAAAACACTTCCTCTCAATACCCCAGAGAAAACCACTACAATTTCAAGTACCTCCAAGCTTGCCTAATTCGTTTTTTTATTTCTGTTTGTTTATTTCTTCATGGGTGCAAAAGGGTTTTGTTCAGATAAGGCATTCCGATAATTTGCTAATCGATGGGGAAATATGGTGCCATGAAGTAGTGGTTTTGGGAACCCCTTTCATGGCGAATTGTTTATTAATCTGGAAGCATAGCAACGCCAGCACTTTTAATGAAATTAAACCTTCTTTTGAAAATAAATTTTGAAACAGAATAGCTAATGAAAATTGTGCCTTTATTTATTCTTGGTTCAAGCGCTCTTGGTTTATGGTGAAAAATGTAGCCAGAAATTTATTTATGAGTCGAGAGTTTTCCAAGCAATAGCACATATCCGGCAATCAAATATTCCCGATTAAATATTTGTTCCGTCCAAAGGAGTTGCCGCGAATTCACAAATCTATTAGGAGTGGGGCTGGACAGGGGCGTCGACTTGGTTAGTCAGTTTGTTTTGGTGGCTTTATTGATGTGGGTCAACGCGTGTCGCGACAATCAAATCGTGAGGGATAATAATGTGTATACAGCCCAAGAGGCACACACCTGGGCTGTATGGCCCAGGTGGAGGGCAGTACATTCTAGCTAGTTGTGTGTCCAAGTTATTCGGTCTGTTGACTCCCACCAAGCACACTATTTCCCAACCCCCCAACACCAGCAACCCCTAATCCACTCACTCCCCCGTAATCGTTGCCGGTAATGACAGAAGTGAGCAAACAATTGGGTTACAATTTGCATGTGAGCTGGGTGTTGTGGAATGGTACTTGGAGCCGGTTGGGATGGGGCATGGGGATCTGTGGTATATTAGCTGATTAATTAGGTTTCCATGTTGCAGATTAGCGTGCCACTTGAGTTTGATTCAATCAGTTTTGAGTAAAAATAACTTTCATATCTATTACATCATTTTTTGTTAAAACTTCTTATGTGATCACTTTTTATAAACGTACTTCTAAGATAGTATTTTTTGGGGGATCTGCGAACTCGCGGATCTTAAGACTGTGCCGCGATTCTCACTCTCTGCCTCCTGTTCCTGATGTTGACCAGGCGAACGAACTGAAGTGACTAACGACGCCCGCCGCCAACGGTCGACATTTACATCCAAGCGCGCTGCCGGCGACGACGGCGCTGCCTTTGGGGAGCCCAGAACTATATCGCTGGCATAGCCGCCAACGTCGACGCAGACTATTCAATTTGTATTCCATTTGTTGTCGCTTCGCTGCGTGCTGCTCCGCAGCTGCGTCTACAGTTATTATCTGGCATACCGCCTTTTCCAACAGCCCCCATACCGCCGGCCCCATGGAGCTCCCCTTTTCCGGACCCATACTTTTTACCATTCTCTGTTGTGCTCACACATTCCGTAAACATTACACAAACAACACAGCGGTTCAAAGTCAATGTTGCCGCTCCGAGAAATGAAAAACTAATAGAGAGGCCATGCATAAGGTTAAGTAGGGGATTGAATACCCTTAATTTAACAAATAAATTTTGTTAAATAAAAAAACAAAATTATAACAAATATTTTAGGGTTCTTAGATCTAAAAAAAATCAATAACATCATTTAAACATGTAAAACCCTGCTTTCAGGTGAAATAAGAAAGTATGTATATTTGATAAATCTTTTTATAAATTTATTTTAATAATTAGTTTGAACTGAACTTTTCCTATATTATATTTAACTTATATATGTACATAAATTAGACTAAAATATAAGCATTAAAACAATAAAAAAAATGTTGATAATAAATTAAAAAATTTTATTTTCTTAAAAAAACACGTAATGACCAAAAAAATATCTAAAAACAGCACAAACTTACGAATCAGCTTAATAATTACCAGCTTTATATTTCCAAAGAAATAATGCCTTATCACTTCGCTGTTCAAAACCCAAGCGAACCGAATCGAAAAGGGTAATCCACTGTGAGTAGGTGTCAGCCAAATGGGCAGAGCATTGGCGCTGACGTCAACTGAGCAGCCAGCGCCGGCATCGGCATCGGCATCGACGTCAACAGAGCAGCAACAAGCCGGCTACGACTACGGGTTGTATACGCGATATCAAATACAAACTGCTCGCAGGTAACTCACAAAACACGTATACGAGTAGTGGGCCGGCAGTGGGCCAAGTTTCGGCCAAGTTCCCAACGGTTTACATTTCTTACCGCCAAGAGAAAGAGAAACCCAAAGCGTTTTTCTCTATGTTTCTTTCTAGCCCCTCCCCCATACGCCCCCTTCCAATAGCATCATTATTGTAGTGTCGCTTTTATCTTGCTTTTACCAATTTCTGTGCGTTGGTGGCGGAGATTTCGTGATGTATATAGAAACGAGAGGTAGAATGCGTTTTTTTGTCTGGAAATAAACTTTTTGTCGATTTAAAATTAAAATCTAGGAACGGAAGTCCAAAAAGTTTTCGGCATTTTAAGCATATCTCAAAGGAAATATATTTGGCATATGATAAGCTTCTAAAGTACATTTTATATAATTCTAAATGGGAAATACTTTTCTCTAGCCTGGATGGAATGGAATCCATCTTTCCCCTTCCAGCTTTCCTTAATATTCATAATTTATAGCATGCTTTCGGAAAAGATCGTTGGTATGGGGCGGCATGATGTAACGCTAGCTCTGGATAAATATAGAAAACTCATTGAGGCAGACACATTGGAGGGAGCACTGAATTCTCGGCGATACTCATGCGATCATCAAAACAAACACACTCACCCAGTGGCAAACGAACATGGTTTAACTTGGTAGTTAGTTTCTATATATAAGGTTTATCGGCGGCTTATCAGCGGTCGTCTGGTTGATGGCAGTCATCGTGGAACGCCATTTTTTGGACGGTCAGACCAGTCTCGTGCTGATTCCTTGGTAGATCCCCAGTTATCAGTTGCTCTCAAAATTATAAAAGCTGTCATAATTGTACCCAAAAAGAACACTCTCGTCCCGGAAACTTATCTCCTTAAAAGGAAAAATAGATTGATTATTTTGACTTTCATGGAAATTATTTTTGGCAGAATTCCTATTAACATTATTAAAACCCTAATCTGTATTTTTTTTTTTGATTGTTTTATCGCTAAGCCTTGCACTAACTCATAAGCATAATCAAGTATTGACGGTCATAACTCAACTTTGCTAGTTGCCCAGAAATTTGAGTACATTCACCATAAACACTTTCTTCAAAAAATGAGTCAGGCCGTTTTTAAAGTTGATTACATTTTATTGCAATTAGTTTAGTCTGCATGTTATAAATTATCAAAATAATAATGCTTGCTCGCAATTTTTTTTTAATATATACAATGTACCAAAAAGATTGTATATTTCTTCGAGCTATGAAATCCATTATTTGGTTGAAGAATTAAAGTGGCGGCGTGACTCAGAAACGCGTCGTCATCGCCGATGGCAGGGGATGACATAATTTGTCAAAAGGGCAGCCAACTTTGGCCCATTTCGTCCCGTCCCGCCCCACTGCCGACAGGATATTGTAGTGGGAACCAAACTCAGCGACTATCATAAACATTTTCCGCCAAGAACATGTCAAATAAAATCTACATACAAAGTGCCCTTCCATCTATTTATTTATCCACCAACGATTTTGTGTGGGCAGCGTTTTAATTAGATCATGAATCGGAGTTGCTAAAGACGGAATTACGCATTCCCTGCATCAAGGCCAAGCAACAATACCACCCACCATCCATCCTTTGGGGCACCGCTAATGATAAGCGACTGTCTAGAATGCTGCACAATTAGGAAACATCAATAATAGATGACCCGGCGGGGTCATTTAGATAGAATTGCCGATAGCCGGTTGGCTAGCCACTTTACCACCCTCCGTCCCACGGGGGTCAACTTGTCATCGAACCACCTGTCTCGCACACAGCCACGCCTCCTTGTAACACCACCGCCCTATCGGGAAATCCCCGTCACAACAATGAAAGCGAAAAGGAAACGGTAAGATTGTATGTGATGAATGTTCGGGATACCCAGTACTTATGAAGTCATAAAATATTTAAGGTTTATTTATATTCAAAGGAATCGAATAAAATTGTATGAAATAATATAAAATATTAATATAATAATTATAATTTTTTAATAATTAATAGGTATGAAAAAGAGAAATGTCCCGAAAGCAACTTCCACCCTGTAAGTTACAAGTTCTATCCAAAACTACACTTTCACCCACTTCGTTGAACTTAAAGCCTGTTCGTGTTCATTTTCATGTTCATGTCCCTGTCAGTCCTTTTCTACTAACCTTCCCACCCTTTTAGGACCTTTTCCTCCGCTTTCGGCGCTTTTAGTTTCTTTTGTTTGCCGGCAACTCGCCTAACATTTCGGAATTGTTGAATTGCGTGATTTTGCGGTCGGTCCTAATTGAATTTCAAAAGTGCAATCAATCGACTAGGACAGCTTAAATTAGGCTGGGTTGCATTAATACCATAAATAATGGAAAGTAATTGATCTTAAAAAGAAGCTTATAAGTGATTTTTAATGTGTTTTCTATATGAAAAGGCTAAAGTATTTTAGGTTTACAAACATAAAACTAAGAAACTTAAAAAACTGTTACTTAAATATATATTTAATTATCTTTAATAAAACATAGTTCAACTAAAACTCACCATTATATACAAAATATTTTTGAATTTTCGCGGTTAAGCCGCATTTCCATAGGGTGCTTCGTGTTTTTATAGCCAGTGGGAAAAAGCTTTAAAAAGCTCCCTTTTCAGCCAACTATTAATCAGCTTTACTCCAAACTGATAATATTCGCGCCCTTTCAAAAGGGATTACCAACCCCCAAGTCTTTTTTGGCAACACATGTGATTATTCAAAGACGACATGTAACCATACCCTGAAATTCTAGTAATTACAGACACATGCAAATGAGGCAAGCCAAGTGGAAAAGTATAGCCGCAGGATTAACCCCTTTTGGCACATATGTGACCCAGGAATAGGGCGGTCCGATTTACAATTGAATTCCCAAAAAACTCACTTTAATTAAAGACTTAATCAAACGCAGCATGTTATAAGTCAACCGTATAATGATTACTCTTCCGTATAATGCCGGCAATTCATCAAAATATGTTACAATACCCAGCGGGATTTGAAACACGTGTAACAACGCCTAGAACAAGATGACCCAATGGCGCAGTGACAACAAACACAAAGTTGGCTTAATTGGATGGTGCTTAGTTTTAAAAGGTTTTTTTGTTTATTCACGTTACGTTCTCTAGCTCATGTAAAAAACTCATCTTCTGCACAACAGAACGGGGTGACTTTCCCAGATGAACCAAACCGAACCATCGCGACGATGTGCGAGAACCCGCTCTAGACATTCAGGTAGTTGTCGGGGAATTCGAAGGTAACGTCGCGGCCAGTCAGCTTCTTGTAGACCGAGGTGAAGGTGTCAACCTGGAAGAAAAGGATATTTTGATTAGTTTACAAAGTAAATACGGGTATTTTTTTGTATAAATGTGTACAACTTTCGAGACCTCCGTTGCAGCTGAGATACCACAACGAAGATATTGCCCAAAAGGTTGGATTAATCTGCCGCCGATATAGGAAGTCCCAAGCCACCAGGAAAACTATACGGTGCTTGGGAGGCAAATAAGCGGCATAGAAGTGCATCGTGTGTTTTAGAATAAAGTAAGAATATAGCAATCATTTAGTAATGGTGTAGTCCTGGATAAGTTAGACGCATCATTATGGAGTGATTAGTTGCCTGGAATATGCTCTTCGTTCTGTTTGACAATCTCTGAATTAGGGTGAAACATCCAGGGAATAACACAAGAACGGTACACAAACTAAAGATTTAAACATATGGCGCGCATTTAGTAATGCTGTAGTCCTGGTTAAAGTCGACTAAGCATTATGGAGTGATTAGCTGCCTGGTGATTATTCTGCGTTCTGTTTGACAATCACTGGTCTTGAGGAGATTATCCAGCAAATAACACAAGAACGGTGCAGTTGACTGAAAAGTGCTAATGTCGCAATCATTTAGTAATGAAGTGGCCCAGGGTTAAGTCGGCCCATCATTATGGAGTGATTAGTTTGCTTTGATCTGCGTTCTGTTTGACAATCACTGGATTTGGTAATAACATCCAGTGAATAACACAAGAACGGTGCTGTACTCTTAGAAAGTTTCTAACTCTGCCTGTTGGGGAATATTTCTATGTAGCATACATTTAGTAATGCAGTAGCCCTGGTTAATCGGCTCAACATTATGGAGTGATTAGCTGCCTATAGTCTTCGTTCTTTTTGACAATCACTGGTCTTGAGGAGATTATCCAGCGAAAAACACAAGAACGGGAGACGATTCTAACATACAATTATTTTTCAATCTAAAGTTCCGATAAGAATTAATCTATAACATAAGATCATATAGTACTGTAGCATACATTTAGTAATGCAGTAGCCCTGGTTAGTCGGCTCAACATTATGGAGTGATTAGCTGCCAAGTTACATATTCTTCGTTCTTTTTGACAATCACTGGTCTTGGGTAGATTATCCAGCAAATAACACAAGAACGGAAGGATAGACCAGTTTGTGGCCAATATATGGAGATGCAGGACTGCACTAGTGCCTAATGCCTGCAGTAACGAGTTATTGGTCATGGATGTTCTACGTCTCAAAGCGAAGATTACGGTCCATGGAAAAGGAAACGCAAATATCGTAGAGACGTTGAGAAACACACGATGCTTAAGCTGGTTGAATGTTTCTCTTGGTTCACACACTTACTTTGTGTTCAATGGTGGTCTGCTGGTTCTTGTCCAGGTGCACCTTGACCAGCTGGGAGCCATCCAGCTTGACGCGGATGCGCTTGCCAACAATCTCGGCGGGGTAGACCAGATCCTCCAGGATGGCGTCATAGACGGCCGTCAGGGTGCGAGAGCGGGGACGCTTCTGCTTCAGGGGGTTGCGGGCCTTGCGAGTGGGCTTGGGCAGGATCTTGCGCTCGCCAATGACGACAACGTGCTTGCCCGAGAACTTCTTCTCCAGCTCGCGAACCAGGATGATCTGGATCTTCTGGAACACCTTCTGCTGTGGAATGGGCACGTAGATGATGACGGCCTGTGGGGGGGATCGAACTGGGATTAGAGGACCACGAATATTAAGGAGGGAGATTAACTGATATTACCTTCTTGGTTCCGAACTCGATCTCACGGGCACGGGTGATGTGCAGATCGCGCAGGTAAGGCTTCAAGTCGCTGTTGGCCTCCAGCTCGACAAGAGCCTGGGCAATGGACTTCTCGAAGTCATCGGGATCTGCGCCGCCGGGCTTGATAATCTTGGAGCCGATAGCCATCTGCAAACATGACAGGATGCTTCATTAGTAATCAATAAACAATCCATTTTTTCGCGCAACAATGCAAGTGCGAGCTAGTATTTAGTTCACCGCCACCGCAGCTTCATACAATTTCTTAATCGCAGGCAATCAGCTTTATTTGTATGAATTTCCACCCATTTAATGGGTTATATTTAATAAACAATCTTTGGTTAAGCGGGATGCATCACTATTTCGCTGCTCTTGTCGCGTTTTTTGGCCATTTTCGGCATGAAGTTATAGAAAAATGTACCACCTTTGTCGACTATTTTGACAGAAAGGAAGTCGGGCTGCGCAGTGTGGCAGTGGTGCGAGAAAAAAGACTGAAAAGGTGTGCCCAGTCATGGTAAAAAAAATTTCCCTAAATATTTTTAGTCTACTGCATTTATTTATTCCATTTTAATATTGAAGTAACTGAATAAACAGAGATTCCACCTCTTAAAATATTTTTGGTTTTTATTTTTAAAACTAAAAACTTAAAGAAAATCATAGAAACTTAGTTTAAAACTTTAAGGTGTGAACGCATTATCAAAAACTAAAAATATACCAGATCCGCCATGAAAAATACCGCTTGACAGTTCTTAGTATGTTTGGTTTCCTACAGAGGGCGCAAGCGTTACCAAGATAGCCTTTAATATTGGCGGGGAATAAGTTTGAATTAATATTTTTCTGATGATTCAGATGTACGTGATTTTTTTTCCCTTTTTAGCCCATTTGTTTATTATGGGTAATAAGCTTTCACTTCATAATGTTTTTACCGCTATATTTTATTACCTAAACTTTAACTTTAACTTATTTTCTTTTACAATAAATATATAAGTATATATTCTCACTGTCATATATCACATGTCATATATATGTCTCACTGTACATATATAATTCATAATATAAATATATATATTAAGAGATGTACATATATTTTGAGTTAGTTTCAATAAATTAATATTTAATTTAGCTGTTTAGGATTTTAGTTAAAGGTACTGTAGTAGTCATAATTTATTCATGTTTGTTTATTTTATATTCTTTGTAATTCCCGTAATCTATTCATTGTCTTGCTTTCTTCGTGCAAGGCGGACATTACCTTCCATAATCTGATTCAATTCTGCAGTGTGTGATTTTTTACAGCAAAACCCCCTTCGGAAATCTTATCGCCAGCGTTTCTCAAATTGTGGATTCGCCTATAAAAGCGCTTGCGTCTGGCTGATCAGACATCAATCTATCAGATTTGTCTGTAACCGCAAAAGCATCAGCTTCTCCCGTTTATTTTAACTAATAACAATAAACAAACATCTTTACAATGAACTTCAACAAGATCTTCGTATTTGTTGCCCTCATCCTGGCTGTTTGCTTGGGACAATCCGAAGCTGGATGGTTGAAGAAGCTTGGCAAGAAAATCGTTAGTTTTCTTTACCAATAAATATAACTCGAGCAAAACACTAAAATATTTACTTAATTAACAGGAACGCGTTGGCCAGCACACTCGGGATGCCACCATTCAGGGTCTGGGAATCGCCCAACAGGCCGCTAATGTTGCAGCTACTGCCAGAGGATAATACCTAAACACTAAAGTTAACAACCTTATATTAATATATTTATTTATATATCAATGATTGTACTATATATGGCTAAGAAAATAAATCTTTTTAACTAAAAAAACATTTTTATGGTTTTTAGTTTTTTATTATAATCGAAATCAAATAAACAATGACTTATCCAGAATTTTATAAAAGTATATTTAATAGAACAGTCTGAATTTAAAATAATTTCCATATTCGAAACCCAGTCAGATTTCAATATTGTCTTTTCTATTCCAAAGAGCCGATTAATTAATTAATTAAGTGTATGTACTTCAGAAAGTTAGGCTCCAAAGATTATTCCATAGTATTGAATTGATTACCAAGTTGGGTAATTTTCAATTCCATAAAAAACCAATTATTATTTGACATTAAAAATACATATGTTCATTGTAAAAATCATTTTATACGATTTTATTGTTGTTTTGAAGATACCTTTCTTCCTAACTTCGATTTGCCGCAACCCTATAAAGCCTATTCGATCCCAGTTTTTTACCCTTATGAATTAAGATGAGCTTAAGGATATATTTACGGACTTAATTTTTTGAATCAAAGGTTTTTGCTGATACAGCTTCTCTTCGAAGTCAGGTAAACCATGTTTCAAATTATGATTTAAGAAACAAAGATATTTATTTATAGAATAATAAAGTATTTGTTTTAAAATGATATTCATGCCTTTAACCTTAGCTACCGATCCTATTAGTTTATGTAAATCCCAAATTACTTCTGTCAAAACTCGAAAACCCCCTAAAATAAAAACCGCTATAGGTGTCCACGAAGATTTGATTCCTCTCGTGTACTTTTTACACCAAAAATCCCCATTCAGGCCTTATCTGGCAAAGCCTTTCCAGCTGTCAGTTCGCCTATAAAAGCTCATGCCCCACGTATCACAATCATCAGTCTCTCAATTAACGTTGCAGAAGCAATATCATCCTACAATTGCACATCCCATATACCAGGATTAATCCAGAAATACCAACATGAACTTCAACCTGATCTTCGTATTTGTGGCTCTCATCATGGCCATTAGCCTGGGACAGTCGGAAGCTGGTTGGCTCAAAAAGCTTGGCAAGAAAATTGTAAGTGGAACAAAAGTGATATAATTTTCAACTTAAGCTAACTCAGAATCCTTTCTATAGGAACGTGTTGGACAGCACACTCGAGATGCCACTATCCAGGGTCTGGGAATCGCTCAACAGGCCGCCAATGTCGCAGCAACTGCTAGGGGATGAAATTTTGAATCTTTAAAACTAACTTTAAATTATTTATTTGAGCCTAACCTATTGTACAATTCATTCCTAAGAAATAAAAAATAAATAACTTTCAAAATATTTAAAAAGTTTATATATTTTTTTACACAAAAATTGCGCCAAGCATTAGAATCAGAATTAACATTAGAATCAGAATTAGCATAAGAATTGTAAAGATGAACAAAAAAATATATTATTTTTTGAAATATAAAAGCTGACTTAAAATATAAAACTTGTATAACAATGAGCTAATAATATTATTAGTTGTCGTTTTTCTATCTCGTAAGCTTTCAAACGTTTATGAACAAGTAAAGCTTCACTAACATAATTTCAATTTCCTAATTTTATTTTTACTTTGAAATATTGTAAACATTTAAATCTTTTAGAGAAGCATTGAAAGTACTCAAAATCCCAAAATAAGCTTTTCTCATTAAATACTTGTTCATCGAAGTTGACCCACTATTTAAATATTCGTCTAGACCCTAAGACCAGAACCTTGTCTTTTGCTACAAAACTCCATAATTGCTTCAGAGTATAATAAGATAAAAACAATTAAAATAATTTTTTTTTTTTTTTAATTTATTGTCTTATATTTTAATCTTAAAATAAATAAATACATTTTTAAATAGCAAAATCAAAATAATAGATTTTCAACCCCGGGCAGTAGCTGCCACAGTAGCGGCTTGCTGGGCAATTCCAAGGACCTGGATGGTGGCATCCCGAGTGTGTTGGCCAATGCGTTCCTGTCAAACCAAGTCTTCGTTGTAATCAATAAATCTATAAAATATATAGGTAAACTTACAATTCTTTTTCCCAGCTTTTTCAGCCATCCGGCGTTGGTCTGACCCAAGCTAATGGCCAGGATGAGGGCGACGAAGACGAAGATCTTGTTGAAGTTCATGACGGAAACTTATTTACTTATTTTAGAAAGCAAAACTAGCTGATGTTATTGGCAATTGTCGTATGCAGCTTGATCTGTGCGACTGATGATTGTACTTCATTAAGCCGGAGCTTATATAGCAGAATCTTTTGAAGCGCAGCTCAAAGAGATGCAGATACTGCCAAGTCGGGGATTTTTCAAGACAACGAAAGAATGTCAGAAGAATTTAGATTTAAAAAAGATGGACCTAATGCTATGAACTTTATATGTGAATTATATTTTATTCACAAACTTTATAAATTATACTTCTTAAAAGTTTAATTTTAGTTAGTTTTAAATTAAGAAATCCATACTTTTAGCAAAACTATATAAATTTGTCCAGAAATATTTGTTCTTCCCCATTGGAGGGTTTCTAAATTAATTAAAAACGACAAGCCCTCAAGTTTTTTTTGGCTCAGCTTACCATGTGGACTTTTTCTAAAGATTTGTTATAGAAAAATCACCGACTATGGCTTATCTGCATCACCAGATGCTTTTTCTGTATATATGTATGTATGTACATATGTAGCTTATCAAAATTTTTAAAGAGGAAATTTACGCTTCTCAACTACTTCAGAATTTATTTACAAAAATAAAATTAACTTTAGCAATATAGAGTTTCGGATAGGTTTAAATTTTGATGAAGATCATCTAACAAAAAAGAATCGAAAATATTCAAGGAATGCTATATATTTCCTGTAATATAAACTCCCCAAGAAAGCCGTTTCTTAGAAACAAAGCTTTTTAATCCCATTAAAACTACTTAAATGTATAATCCAAAAAAGACCGGGAAATAACGCCAAACATCCGACCGGCAAGCGAGAGAATTAATCAGCAAACAAGTTTGACCTAGAGAGAAAAAAAAGCAAAAAGCTTGGATTACTCAACGGGTTGAATGGACGTAGAATCAATTAAGAAAAAACATCTGACACATAGACTATACCTCGAACTAGATTAAACTATTAATTTTGTAATACAACTCTTGACAATAGGTATGGAAAATGTTTACATTTCAGTTCCTTTTTTTCAATAATAAATTCTAGCAATAGTGTAGCCATTAAAAAATATATACCCTAAGCTCATAAAGGGTATCACAACTTGTACTACGACTAAGTTTTGTGAATGAAATACCTCGTGGGTGAATATATATGTATTTAAAAGAAAAAGAACAGAAAATTCTTTGCTTACAAAGGGGTTTCACGCTCAAGTAGATCCCATTACTGGTGACGTGTCAATATTATGATTCAAGTGATCCATCGATCTCAAGGAAGGGGCACACCTGGGATCGGTGATCTTTCTCTGTTTGTCAGACTATTTTATATTGCTTTTTGTTGCGGCTTCTTTATCAGCGGCTCTCGTTTATCAATTTCAGTTCCGCTCCCTGACTGGAGGGTAAGCCCCTGGCAGAAAAGTCCCCTGACTGATTCGTTTACTATCTACAGAGTCCAAGATGCTCAAACATTTTTAAAAGTCCATTGTCTCCAGGTTGAATCTTTTAGATTGCGGAAAAGCCTATAAACTGCGGCTATATTTGAGTCATTTAGGTGGTAAAGTACATTTCTCATGACAAATTTAAAGTCATTTCCGATCCTAGTTTAAGAAAACTTACACTGCACTGTATAGTATACATATAAACCAAATATACTGTATCATATCCGATGTACAAGAAACTTCTAATCAGTTTATGTATATCTCTTTAAGATGTTTAATACCATTTTAGCCAAATACTTTTAAGCATATACCTCAAACCATTTATATCACTTACGCCTCCTTGGACATAGTTCTTGGGAAGAGTCCTGGAAGTTATGACACAGAACTCGCTCCCTCCTTTTGTCTGTCTGTGGCTGCCACTTGTAGCTGTCACTCAGCGGTTAATTCAAGCGATTTTATTTACATTTTGCAAGGGCAACAGAACCGGAAAGGAGCAACAACCAGGGCTAAGCCACCAGCCAACAGAACCGGAGGGAAACGGAAGTGGAGGCAAAGTCAAGGCCCAAGATGAATAAAGCGTTTTTACTTGTTAAGGAAATTAGTGGCATATCCTGGCAAGTCGCACATCATCCTCGGAGCTTCCTATTCTATTCGTTAGTCCCCCACCCATTCACCAAAAATCCTACACCCCCATCCCCTCAGTGTGTGTGTGTTTTAGCTTCCCTTGCTGATTTAATTCATTTGTTGTCTTTTCAGCTCGAGTCCATTGTCAGGCCCTCCTCGTTGTTGGTTTTTTATGGTTGAAATTAAAGTTACATTTTCGTGGTGGTTGTTATTATATGCCGATGTGAGTGAAAGCCGAGCCCCTGCTATCCATGGGATTTACTCCTCTTACAGATCAGGTACAGTTGTGTGGAGTTTCATGTGGGTTTTAATCTATAGCTTAAGTTTTCTAAAACATAATTTTGTTGGATGGAAAGGTAACTAAATGTTACCTTCCGAATGCCAGGGAACAAATATCAAGTCACATCTTATTAAATAGATTGTATTTGTAGACTTTCAATCTAATTATATTTCACATGTGTATTAGCAGCTGATTAAACAGTTCATTAAAATTTGTCTATTCTTAAAGGGGATTTTACTTCAGACTTAGGGGCTTTTTAGGAAGTTTAAAGAGTCAAGTTAGTAAAAAGAATATTCTCACGACATCAGCAATCGCCGAACCTGCAGGATAACCTATTTAATTATAAATACTTATGACTTTGAAATAACATTCGCATTAACATCCCTATAATTTACATGTGCATATGTGTCTAGTTGTTTTTTTATTTGCGATGTGAAGATGATTACACTTTCCCAGGGTGACTGAGCCCTCGTTTGGATTTCCCACAGTTTTTCCAGAGAATCCGTAACTCCGGGCACAAGTGTAAGGGCTCCCCTGGGCCATAGACCTTGTGCTCTGGGTCCACCTCTTGTTGGTGGTCATTTCGGGCCCACAACGCGTTTAAATGTCAAAACACTTGTGAACCTTTTCCAGGGCGGAGTTCGGGTTGAAGTTGAAATGGGAAAGTTGCCCCTGGCCCATGTGTGTGTAGTTGCATGTTTGGCTGGTAATTTGCTTTGATTTACTTACATGAGCGTAGGTCGCGCCACGTGACCGCAAAGTTTACATTAAATTATCGGAGCTCCTTGTGGAAATTATTTCACAAGTTTCGCGAAAGGAAAACAAACGGAGTAGGGGTAATGAAATTGAAGTAGGATTCGATTAAAAATGAATGCAAAATTAATGAGATTCGGGAATCAAATTTGTAAGTGATAAGTGGTTTGAAGGACCTTTAATTCTAGAGAAGATTTTCGCAGTAAAATGTAAGTACATTTTTTTAAAAATCTATGTAGAAAATATTTTCAATATTCTTTAAAATTTAAAACCACATTTTATGTCTCGCCGGAAAACAGAGTCCTAATTACATGGCATCTCCATCGGATTAGGCCAACTCGCCTGGGAAATCGTCAGCTTGGGCTGCCAATCGGCTGATTCGGTTTCGATGCCTTGGGCTCTAAAAAGCGCTAAAAGCCAGAGCACATGGTCTGAATTATTGACAGCTTAGTACGAAAGGACCAGAACAGAACCGTCCTGTCTGCCAGTCAATCATTATCATTCCCGAGCCTCGAAAAAATCCAACTTCAAATGACGGCAAAGGTGGCGGCGAGATAGATTTTATGGTGCGGCAGTAGCAGCTGCCAAATGATTTGAATAACAATAAAGATCAGCTTTTGTCTGCCGGCTGTACTTTGTAATTTATGCATTGATTTCTCTCGCCATTCCCCCCACTCCGTACACCCCCTCGAAGTAATAATCATTTTGAAATTACATAAAAAGAATACTCGCTCATCGCGGCATAATTTCCTCTTAGGCCCGCCCGTTGTGCAGATTGTAAAATTTTATATTTTTTTTTTATAAAATTTCATAAAGCAAATCCCAGAAAATCATGCGTAAGCCCCTCGAACAGTACTCGAGAATCTGTTTCAAAAAAAGTGTAATATGCGTCGTTGGTAGAGGATATGTGTGTGGCACCCTGCTAGGCCGAAAAGGCCCCCTTGAAAACATCCCCTCCCGTCTCTAAAATCCCCTTCAGAAATCGTTTACAAGCCATTGAGAAGCCGCCGATGTATCAATAATATTTGCCAAAAGTGTCGAGGAGTTCAAAGGTGGTGAAAGTTGTTTTAAAATATTACGAGAAGGGAGGAGTGCTCAGCCAAAAATAATGTTTGACTTAATTTCTTTTATGGCTCAATATAACCATTATTCGCACTACCCGAGCATAATCAGCAAATTTAAATTCAATTCGCCTGCCTAGGAGTTACGGCTTTTTAAACTTCTTAGGTGTGGTGGGAGGTAATGGGGCAGGGGGCGTGGCCAGCCAAGTGTCAAATGCAGTGTGGCATTGGGGTGTTACTTACTACCCACTGATGTGGTTTCACTTTCCTTTCAAAGATTTTATTTACCAACTCCTGGCTATAATTTATCATATTTAAAATGCCATAAGCTGGGTGAAGAAGGTGTAATTGTATAGTACTTTCAGACAGCTAACGATGTCGAGATAGTTCTTCATAGAATCCCAACTACTCTGACTTTAACCCACTAAGATGTCAGAGATGAAAAATATTTATACCTTTATTAAGAAGCATAAACCGGGTATCAGCTATCATACAGTCAATAAATTGTAACCTTTTTGTTGATTTTAGACTGGAAGTGGTCTAGAAAATGTTTCATTAACATCCTTGTAAGCAAAAAAAAACTCTAAGCTTACCTCTTTCCAGCACAACACTGCCAGCTAGTAGCAATTCATCATCAGATCGCCAATGCAATCAGGGAAGTCTGCAATCGAGTCTGACGCTATGATTCCATTTTCCGAGCTCAGACGACATTCTAAACGCGTTATAAATCACACAAATAGACAGATATATACACACATGAGCAGACAGACTCACGGAGATATGGTCGAGGACTCATATTGGATGGATTTTTATTTGGTTTGCAGAGCCATTCGAAATAAAAG